TCCATCTGAACACGAGGAAGAACTTCCTGACTGTGTGAGCCGTTCAGCAGTGGAACTCTCTGCCCCGGAGTGTGGTGGAGGCTCCTTCTTTGGAAGCTTTTAAACAGAGATTAGATGGCCATCTGCCAGGGGTGCTTTGAATGCAATATTTCTGCTTCTTGGCAGGGGGTTGGCCTGGATGGCCCATGAGGTCTCTTCCAACTCTTTGATTCTATGACTCTTCGTGACCTCGTGGACCAGTCCATGCCAGAGCTCCCTGACGACCGTCGCCACCCCCAGCTCCTTGAAAATACATAGCAGTGGATAAATGAAACCATGGGTACTGATCCCATGAGTACAAGGGAAGTACTGTATAAATAAAAAGGTATGCCAACAAAATATAAGACCGGGTTGCTGTGAGATTTCCATGCTGTATGGCCATGTTCCAGAAGCATTCTCTCCTGACTTTTCACTCACATCTATGGCAGGCATTCTCAGAGTTTGTGAGGTCTTTTGGAAACTAGGCAAGTGAGGTTTATATATCTGTGGAATGTCCGGGGTGGGAGAAAGAATTCTTGTCTGCTGGAGGCAAATGTGAATGTTGCAATTGGCAAATAGAAGACTGTTGTACTTGTATTTGAAAGTCAAGTAACCCTGGTGGTGTAGTGGGTTAAACCGCTGAGTTGCTGAACTTGCTGACCGAAAGTTCACCGGTTCAAATCTGGGATGAGCTCCCACTGTTAGCCCCAGCTTCTGCCAACCTAGCAGGTTGAAAACATGCAAATGTGAATAGATCAATAGGTATCACTCTGGTGGCAAGGTAATGGCGCTCCATGCAGTCATGCTGTCCAAATGACCTTGGAGGTGTCTATGAACAATGCTGGCTCTTTGGCTTAGAAATGGAGATGAGCACCAACCCCCAGAGCTGGACACGACTGAACTTAATGTCAGGAAAAACCTAGTACAGCTCAGATGATGATGATGATTATTCAGTTTGAGACGTTTTCCAAGTTCAGGACTCAAAACATTCAACAGTTGTTTTTGTTGAAGTCAACATTTCCCATAACATAAATTTAGAAATTGATAAACCATGGTATAATTTGGATGACATGATTTTTTTGTTTCCTCTTTTTAAAATGCACATAGTTCAGCACTGTTTGGCAACTCGACAGAAAACACTACGCAACCCCATTTGAGGTCACAACCCATGTTTTAGCAGGAGATCCTGCATTGAGCAAGGGGTTAGCATAGATGGTCCATGAGGTTACTTCCAATTCTATCTTTCTATGTTTCTGTGACCTCAGCTGCTCTTGGTGAGACTTATGACCAGCCTAAAGGCTCCCCTGTGCAAGCAGTTCTTGCATTTTTTAAAAATAAAACTCTACAAAAAGCACCCTTATACATCTAAATTTTATAGTCTGCTGCATCTGAAAGGCTGGAACAATGAGAGTAGAAAACAAGTTTCTTAAATATTTTGAAAATCCTTGCCTGCCCTGGTGTGTGAGTCCTAGTTCCTTCATAATTTCAGGGTTGCGTGTTTGTGCCAGTAACTATAAGTCAGGTCTGAGTTGCCTCATCCATCTTTCATTATGTGTGTTCCATATTACCATTCCAAAATACGCACCCAGGGTGTTGGGTAGATTTTAAAATATCAGGTTCATAAATACATATTTAGCCTGCATTTCTTGCAGTATGGTGCATGGTTTTGCATGTCACAGAACTCACCTTCAGACTGGCCTTTTCCTTACCTGTGAGTATTGATCTGCTTTGAGAGGGAATGAAAGTACAGGAAAGAGGTTGGATAGAAGGCGAAAGATTGAACTCGGCGAACATTTGTAAGCTGTTGGCAAAAGGTCTTCAGAGAACATGTCAGAGCAACTAATGTAGGCAGGGCTTGATGAAGGGAGACATATCAGGAGTGTTGAATTAATCTGTGAATTACAAGCATAAAGATTTTAGCTGAAGCTTTTTGAGCTGATAGGGTCACCCAGGGACAATGTGTGGGAGAATTAAAATGGGTGAGATAAGGAGAGATAGCATTTAAACTAAGATACAAGACAAGATATGAAGAATGAAAGAGAAGAGTAAAATGAGGAGGAAAGTTTAGATCAAAGGTTCTCAACCTTCCTAATGCCTTGACCCCTTAATACAGTTCCTCATGTTGTGGTTACCTCCAACCATAACATTATTTTCATTGCTACTTCATACCTAATTTTGCTACTGTTATGAATCATAATGTAAATATCGGAAATGCAGGATGTATTTTCATTCACTGGACCAAATTTGAATACACTCAAATTTGAATACTGGGGGGTGGGTGTGGGTGGGGGATTTATTTTGTCATTTGGTAGTTAACCTACAATCAAAGAGCATTCTGAACCCCACCAACAATGGATTTGAACCAAACTTGGCACAGAATTTCCATGACCAAGAGAAAATACTGGAAGGGTTCAGTGGGCATTAACCTTGAGTTTTGGAGTTGTAGTTCACCTACATCCAGGGAGCACTGTGGACTCAAACAGTGATGGATCTGGATCAAACTTGACACGAATTCTCAATGTGCTCAAATGTGAACACTGGTGGAGTTTGGGGAAAATAGACCTTGACATTTGGGAGATGTAGTTGCTGGGATTTATAGTTCACCTACAATCAAAGAGCATTCTGAATTTCACCAATGATGGAATTGAACCAAACTTGGAACACAGAACTCCCATGAGCAACAGAAAAAGCTAGAAGGGTTTGGTGGGCATTAACCTTGAGTTTTGGAGTTGTAGTTCACCTACATCCAGAGAGCACTGTGGACTCAAACAATGATGGATCTGGGCCAAACTTGGTATGAATCCTCAATATGCTCAAATGTAAACACTGGTGGAGTTGGGGGAAAATAGACATTGACATTTGGGAGTTGTAGTTGCTTGGATTTCTGGGAAAGAGAGTGAGTGCTTTCTGTCACACTTAACAATATATTGGAAAGCGGGTGATTTAACCAGAAGCAAGATAGAAGCCTGGCAAATGTATTATTTTTAAATATATGATTTGGATGTTGATGGCAGGTTCTGAAGTGCTGTTATTTTACCTTTTTATATTATAATGTGGTACTAGGCTAAAGCAAACTTGCAAATATATGCGATTTGGTGGCATGTTAGGTTTTCATCAATTTTATTTAAATGTATATGAGTTTGTAGTTCTTTTTGAAGACCGTTATGACTGGTTTTCCAAAAAGGGATACCGAAATAGCATTGCCCTTTATGGAGGAATCTGGTTAGAAACCCCTTCTTGCAGTCCTGAAATAAAACCAAACAAAAGGTATACCTCTGGGATAATCTTGCACTGACATAACCCATGAGATTTTGCAAATTGCAGTGACTGCACTAAGCTACTTATTGTCCTCGCTTGCCATCTAGATAGGCAAGGATCAGTCTAGAATGTATTCAGAGTGATGTCTAGCAGAGCAAGCACACGAGCTGCTACGAATAAGCAAGGATGTGCAGAAAACAATTGATTCCTGTAAGTAAATATGTCATTGTGTAGTAAAGATTAGAACTGAGTCAGACTATGGTTAGCCAGCCATATTCACTGTGGTTAGGGGCACAGGATTCTTGTGAAAGTGAAAACTGAATTAAATATTTGCTATATTTTGACCTATTTATTTATTTATTTATTTATTTATTTATTTGTCGTGTCAGGGCAACCAGTCAATTATATTAAATTTCTAACAGAACAAAGCAAACAAACAGGCAAAATACAAAATGTGTGAGTTTGGTAGTTGATTAAATGTCCTTTGACCAGTATCTGGCCACTTGGAGTGCTTCTGGTGTTGCTGCAAGAAGGTCCTCCGTTGTGCATGTGGCAGGGCTCAGGTTGCATTGCAGCAGGTGGTCAGTGGTTTGCTCTTCTCCCCACTCACATGTCGTGGATTCCACTTTGTAGCCCCATTTCTTGAGGTTGGCTCTGCATCTCGTGGTGCCAGAGTGCAGTCTGTTCAGCGCCTTCCAAATTGCCCAGTCTTCTGTGTGCCCAGGGGGAGTCTCTCATTTGGTATCAGCCATTGGTTGAGGTTCTGGGTTTGAGCCTGCCACTTTTGGACTCTCGCTTTCTGAGGTGTTCTAACGAGTGTCTCTGTAGATCTTAGAAAACTATTTCTAGATTTTGACCTGAAAGAATGCTTCTCTAGGAATTTTTAGGTCCTGCATGATTCAGATTCTGGAGGAAACTGACTCTAGCATTGCACTGGAAGACCTATAAAATAACAAAGATGTGTTTTCTTTAGAAATGTTTGGTTCCTCCAGCATTACTCTGTGGTTCCACAACTATCCAAACAAATTGTCCTCCTAACTTTCAGCATTTTTTTTGCACTTGTTGCTCATATTCCTATTGCTTTGATGTTCTTCTTGCCCTTTCTTCTTCCACCTCATTCTCACGTCTTGGTTTCCCTCAATGTGGTTTAATCCTACTGGCTCCTGTATTTTAAGTGGCCTGTGGGTCCAAATTTTGTGAGCCCTGAGAAGCCTCCAGAAGTCCTCAAAACAACTCACTTAAAACAACCCCAAACTGCAGCTGAACATGGTGGGTTTGCCCCAAGTGCATCTCTCCTTGAATAACAGTTTATCCATATTCACATTCCCTCCAAAACACATATGAGAAAAGGCTGTTTTAGTATGAACCAGAAGTTACCACTAGAAGTGACTTTTTGTTTTGCCTTGCAGCTTATTTAACTGTTTCAAATTAATATTTTTAATATGGTACTTGAATTATTGTTTAACTTTTGTATCCTCCATTTTTGTCTTAACTGATATTCTGAGATACCTTGGATCAAACATTGGGAGAAAAGCTAACACAGTTGTAGGAAGACACATGGTTGATATTGCTTGTTGGCGATACTCAAATGGCACAGTAAAGAAATGGCTTTCTTCAGGCCAGTTTCTATAAGAATGCATAAGCCTTGGCTGAGCCAGTAAATGCATCCTAGCTATTTTGCATTTATTCTAACAACATCACTGTATGTTCTCTCTTACTTGCAGCTGAAGAACAAGTTCATGAAGAAATTACCTCGAGATGCTGAGGCCTCCAATGTCCTGGTTGGGGAGGTAGACTTCTTGGAAGCCCCATTCATTGCCTTCGTTCGGCTGCAACAAGCAGTTATGCTCGGTGCTCTCACAGAAGTTCCTGTTCCTACTCGGTAAATAAGCACCCAGAGATGTATTCACTCAAATTGAAGATGGGGAAGGACCTTTATTTAAATACAAAATGACTACTTTATAAAGTCAAGTGAAGATGACATCCATGCTGGCGCCTTGGCACCTAATTTTGAGTAAAATGAAAACAGAAAAAGAGAGAGTGTAGCCCTCAAAACAATTTCTAGTTAATCTTATGCAGTTTCCCAACCAACACCTATTGAGGAAAGGCTTGTCAGCAGCAATAGTTGAACTTTAATGGACTCCAATGATTCTCTGCTTATAGTGCTTATTGCTTATCACCCTCAAAGTGAATATTTGGTTGAACTTTCTGCCACTATATTCTGTTTTTTGCATGAACAACTGTGCTTTCCCTCATAGGTATACACTTCACTAAAACTTATAGATGTGTTTCCCAAAATGGTGCCCTTCAGATGTTTTGCTCTACAACTCCCATAATCCATCCATTATTCTTAGGGCCTTAAGACCATCTTAGAATCATAGAGATCTCGTGGGCCATCCAGTCCAACCCCCTGCCAAGAAGCCTGCAAATTGCATTCAAAGCACCCCCGACAGATGACCATCCAGCCTTTGCTTAGAATCCTGCAAAGAAGGAGCCTCCGCCACACTCTGAGGCAGAGAGTTCCACTGCTGAACAGCTCTCACAGTCAGGAAGTTCTTCCTCATTTTCAAGTGGAATCTCGTTTCCTGTCGTTTGAAGCCATTGTTCCACATAATAGACTCCAGGGTCTAATCTCCAGGGCAGCAGAAAACAACCTTAAAATACTGAGGCTTATTTCTTGGAACATATAGACCTATTCAACTTGTATGCATAACACATCATGCAATATGTGGGGCTTGATGAATGCAAGGCTGGGGTTAAAATTGCTGAAAGAAACATTAACAACTTTAGGTATGCAGATGATATCACTTTGATGGCTGAAAGCGCGGAGGAGTTGCGGAGCCTTCTAACCAAGGTGGAAGAAGAAAGTGCAAAAGTTGGGCTGCAGATAAACATAAAAAACAAGATGATGGCAACCAGACTGATTGATAACTGGCAAATAGAGGGAGAAAACGTGGAGGCAGTGACAGACTTTGTATTTCTAGGTGCAAAGATTACTGCAGGCACAGACTGCAGCCAGGAAATCAGAAGATGTTTACTTCTTGGAAGGAGAGCAATGATCAATCTTGATAAAATAGTGAAGAGTAGAGACATCACACTGGCAACGAAGATCCGCATAGTCAAAGTAATGGTATTCCCCACAGTAACCTATGGATGTGAGAGCTGGACCATAAGGAAGGCTGAGCGAAGGAAGACAGACACTTTTGAACTGTGGTGTTGGAGGAAAATTCTGAGAGTGCCTTGGACCACAAGAAGATCCAACCAGTCCATACTTCAGGAAATAAAGCCCGACTGCTCACTGGAGGGAAGGATATTAGAGGCAAAGATGAAGTACTTTGGCCACATCATGAGAAGACAGGAAATATTGGAGAAGACAATGACGCTTGGGAAAATGGAAGGAAAAATGGATGGATGGCATCCTTGAAGTGACTGGCTTGACTCTGAAGGAGCTGGGGGTGGCCATGGCCAACAGGGAGCTCTGGCATGGGCTGGTCCATGAGGTCACGAAGAGTTGGAAGCAACAGAACGAATAAACAACAACATAGACTTAATCATTCGGCTCACTGAGACAAATTAAACTTACGGAATATCCTCATATATAAGTCTTCACATTTAGTCAACAGTGCGTCTCCTAAAACATGATTAATTTATCCATAGGTCAGTGTAAGAACTGTACCTTAACTCTTATCAAAAAAGGAACCATTTCCTTCTCTGAGTCGAGTGATGAAAGGCGAGAGCTTGGTCTATCCTCGGAGAACGTGAAAGAAACACCAACCCTTTCTACTCTCTACACCATGGTGCCACTTCTCACCTTTCTGAATGTCTGGGTGGATAAATGGTAGTGGTGAGTGACTCTTTGATGCTTCCCCTCAAAGGAGTACAAAGAGAGCAGAAGAGAGTAAGTTCTCCCTTTAGGTTCTTCCAGGACAGACTAAGCTCTTATCTTTTGCACTCTACTCAGAGAAGGAATAGTACAGAGTTAATACTGTACTTTAACTTCTATCATAAAAGGAACCAACCCTTTTTGAATGCGTGGGTGGCAAAATGACAGCAGTCGGGGGCCTCAAGGCAATATTGCCACTTTCCCCTCTCTGTGATCATGCCAATTTGTCTTTGTGGGAATATTGGACTGTCATATATTTCTGTGTACTACTTTGAGGCAAGAGCTCACTTATAAGTTTCTAATGTAAATGGTGCAATGAACTCTCCAAGTTTTTAACATGGGTTATGTACATTTTATGCTCCATTGCTTTCATTTAATTTTTGCAGTATGTATATCAGGACTGGGCAAACTCCGGCCATCCAGGTGTTTTGGATTTCAAGTCCCACAATTCCTAACAGTCTCAGGCCCCTTCCTGAGGCTGTTAGGAATTGTAGGACTTGAAATCCAAAACACCTGGATGGCCGGAGTTTGCCCAGGCCTGATGTATATTGCATCCAAGGAAGTAAGAAAAATTCAGAGTGATAACCATATTTGTTTTCCTTTCCTTCTCTCTTCCCACTCCTCCACTGGCTCCTTGCATTTAGGTTTCTGTTCATTTTGCTGGGTCCCAAAGGCAAAGCTAAATCGTATCATGAGATTGGCCGAGCCATTGCCACTTTGATGTCTGATGAGGTAATCTGCCTTCCATGTTGATGAGTATGGTTTACTTTGCATTAGGCATCACTTAGATCATGTATTCCCTACAATTACAAACATTGTTTTTATTGTATTTCCTGAAAGCATTTGGTGCATCATTAGAGATGGGGATTTTGAGAGGCCACTCGATACATTACATTGCAGCAAGAGCGAAATTGTCACTGCATGACGTAGAACCATAGTTAGTTCTGCCTCTTGAGTGCAGAACTTGATGTGACTGGTGGCAGTTCTGTGTCTTTGAACTTTGCTGAAACCATTCTAATTGGTAATTTTACAGAAATTTGGGTTGCTGTGAGTTTTCTGGACTGTATAGCCATGTTCCAGAAGCATTCTCTCCTGACGCTTAACCTGCATCTATGGAAGGCATCCTCAGAAGTTGTGAGGTCTATTGGAAACCTATGGCAGACAACCTCTGAGGATGCCTGCCATAGATGCAGTGAAACGTCAGGAGAGAATGCTTCTGGAACATGGCCATACAGCCCGGAAAACTCACAACAACCCAGTGATTCCGGCCATGAAAGCCTTTGATAATACATTACAGACATTTATTTTTGGCTTTAAAAATATTGTTTTCTGTTGGTCTTGAAAGAGTTTTGCATTTGAGAGATTGAGTTTTGCTCAGATTCCATTGCTAAACTACAATAGCTGCTGCCTTGTTGCATGGACTTTTTGGAAATTAGAAACATTGGGTGAATTCTTTTTTCTCTTTTTGATCAATCAGCCATTCTTCTTTGTCTGTTATCTGTGTATCTGCTTTGCTTTACAAAGGGGAAAGACCCTAGTGTAAGGTGGAGACAATTTTACATAAATTACGGAAACCCGGACAAAAAAGGCAAAGAGCTTCTTATCTCATTCTGATGCCGGAGGTGAGGAATCTGATGGAAGCAAGTGGCTTTTCATATTTTGTTGAGAACAGGACAAATCAGAAATATTACTCTATGTAACACATTTTTTGTTCCTGGGTTATAAATGCCATTTCCTAATTGTTTCTATCATTAAAAAAAACAGAGGTAAGGTTTGTTAAACTGCAAAAATGTTGTCTTTGCATGACATTTTGCAGCACATTTTGCTATAGTTTTTCAATGAATATCTCATAGAGCAGGCATGGGCAAACTTTGGCCCTCCAGGTGTTTTGGACTTCAACTCCTACAATTCCTACCAGCTGGTAAGCTGGCTGGGATTTCTGGGAGTTGAAGTCCAAAACACTTTGAAGACCAAAGTTCACTCATGTCTCGTATAGAGTCTCAACCAATTCAACTTAGTTTGTGGCAGCCACAAAAACGAAGTTTCTGGAGTATAACAACTACTTTCAAAGTAAGTACTGCACATTAAACAGGAAATAACACTTTCAAACCAGGAACATTTTTTTTCAAATTTTGTTACATAGTGTTATTAGTCATAGATTTCACATGCTTGGGGGGGGGGGGCTTGAGGGGCTTCAGCCCCCCCCCCAAATTTTTAGGGTGGTCCGCAAGAAGGCCTTACTGGTACATCATTTAAACTGTTACGTTCATTCATATCATTATCTGATCACCATGCTCAATATATCCCATATGCATGGGGGTATTGGGTAACAATACAAAAGGTTTGCTAGGGTAGACCCTCTTTCACTCAAATCAAACTCAGCCCCCCCCCCCGAATCAAACTCAGCACCCCCCGAATCAAAATCCTGGCTACGGGCCTTACCTACATTGCATTTCTATCCAGAACTGGACCAGAAGTTGCTACTGAATGTCCAGATAATATCTTTAACATGGGATAAACCAGGTTGTTTATTACATCTTAAAGACTAACACAACTTTAAAGACTAAACTTTCATGGACTTCAGCCCATTTTGCCAGATGAATGGAGTACGTCAAATAAATCAGATGAAATAAGCTGGAGTCCATGAAAACTTATGGTAGATGAACCTTACAGATCTGTAAGATTCTTTATTGTTTTTGTTTCAATAGACTAATATGGTCACCCCCCCCCCCTTTGTTCAAAACCTTTTCTTTGGTTGTAATTCTTGTCCATGCTCCTGACCTGCTTTCTGTCGTTTCTTTTGCATCTGTGGATCAAAAATTTCCCAGTTGGGCCTGAGGCTGGAAAAGGGTTGTAAAGGAAAGGTATCTCACTGGCTAGTGAAAGTTTGTTGGGGATAATGCTCCATAACAAGAAGAGAACCATAGTTCTATGGTAGAGCCTATGTTTTGGAAGTAGTAGGTCTCAGGTTCAAATCTTGGTATATCCAATTTAAAAAAGATTGTCTGATATGAAATACCTTTTACTGTAAAATTGGCAGGCTGCTGCCAGACAGAGTAAATTGTGCTGGATTAAACAGATCTCCTGTAAGTTACACTATTGCAGTGGTTCTCAACCTGGGGTCCCCAGATGTTTTTGGCCTTCAACTCCCAGAAATCCTAACAGCTGGTAAACTGGCTGGGATTTCTGGGAGTTGTAACCCAAAAACATTTGGGGACCCCAGGTTGAGAACCACTGCACTATTGCATAATACTGCAGACAATGATGCTGGGGAAAGTGGAAGGAAAAAGAAAGAGGGGCCAACCAAGGACAAGATAGATGGATAGTATCCTTGAAGTGACTGGCTTGACTCTGAAGGAGCTGGGGGAGGTGACGGTCGACAGGGAGCTCTGTCGTGGGCTGGTCCATGAGTTGGAAGTGACTGAACAAATAAACAACAACTGCATACAAGGACATGTTTGAAGCAACTCTCCCGTTTTCCCTTCTCGTTGCAGGTATTCCACGACATTGCCTATAAAGCCAAAGACAGGCAGGACCTGATCGCTGGGATTGATGAGTTCCTAGATGAAGTAATTGTACTTCCACCTGGGGAATGGGACCCTGCCATCAGGATAGAGCCCCCCAAGTCCCTCCCCTCATCTGACAAAAGGTACCAGAATTGCATGTTGTGTGTCTTATTGTGGTTGTTGAATACAACATCTTTGTAGTTTTGATGCTATTGAAGGAATGACAGTATGATGACATATCTATGGGTCAGAGCCCCGGGTGGCGCAGTGTGTTAAACCCCTGTGCCGGCAGGACTGAAGACTGACAGGTCACAGGTTCAAATCCGAGGAGAGGTGGATGAGCTCCCTCTATCAGCTCCAGCTCCTCATGTGGGGACATGAGAGAAGCCTCCCACAAGGATGATAAAAACATCAAATCATCCAGGCGTCCCCTGGGCAACGTCCTTGCAGACGGCCAATTCTCTCACACCAGAAGCGACTTGCTCCTGACACGACAAAAAATATGGGTCATAGATGCATATCTATCAAAATATGTCTTCCTTAGGAATTTTTTAGGTTTTCCAGGAAGTTCTATTGCATGCTTCTGTTGGAAGTTATTATACAGTTGCGTTGGAAGACCTAGCAAATTCTTAAGACAGGATACCAGGAAACTCGATGCTAACTTCTAACAGACATCATTCATTTTGATAGGGTTTGCTGTTGTCCACAGTGTTTTGTTTCCAAAGTAAGTTCAGGAATGTATCCCTCATGGATAGTGAGGTCCTACTCCTTATGAAATCTAGGCCATTAAACTATCAAAGATATGTTGATTTGCAACCAAACCAGACCAGCTTCTGGCTTTAGAAGAAGTTTCTTGTCTTATCAATCTGCAAAATTGAATTAGGCCTCTGAAAGTTTTCTGGTTGATGTCAGGTCCTATGCTTAGAACGCTTTGGGGGCTTCTGTTTCTATTGCCATTCACTAAAATTGGTCATGTTATTGGCAACCCTACAACTTTCTAGCCATTGATGGGAATTAACATGGAAAAGTAGGTGAGCTGTATTAGCAGAAAATCAAGGATATAGTTAAGATTGGCTAATCTATTTACTTGTTTACGCTCCTTTTGGATGGGAAAGCTAGATAGCAAAGAAAATGGACAGAAAGAAAATAATTTCATTTGAAATGTGGTGCTGAAGCAAAGTCTGTGGATACTATAGATTGCCAGAAGGACATAGAACTACTTTTTCTCCTAAGTGACTACATGTAAAATGTTGATAGGCTAAGAGAGTGTCCATCACTCAGTAGGTGTCCATGACTGATTGAGGATTTGAATCCTGGTCTTCAAAGCTGTAGTCCAATCCCATGCTAACACCTGTCTGTATGATCGTTTTCTAATTCTGTCCAGCATTTAAGCCCTATCCATTTTTTTTGGTTTTATACAGGAAAAACATGTATTCAGGTGGTGAGAATGTGCAGATGAATGGAGACACGCCTCACGATGGGGGAAATGGAGGTGGTGGACATGGAGATTGTGAGGAATTGCAACGAACTGGCAGGTATGTCATAAAAAGTTGTGCTATTTTTATTGATTTATGCACACATGCATGTCTTACTTTCCTCTTTCCTTTCTTTCTTTTTGACCTTGACTCATGTAATTATGATATATATTTCTCCCTTTGCTCAGATGTTTTGGCGGTTTGGTCAAAGACATCAAGAGGAAAGCCCCTTTCTTTGCCAGTGACTTTTATGATGCATTCAACATCCAAGCACTGTCTGCCATTCTCTTCATCTATCTTGCTACTGTAACTAATGCCATCACTTTTGGAGGCCTGCTGGGAGATGCAACAGATAACATGCAGGTGAGTCATGATATAATAATACTATATTATATACAGTGTGGAGCCCCTGGTAGCACAGTGGGCTAAACCGCTGAGCTGCTGAACTTGGTGCCAGAAAGGTTGCCAGTTCAAATCCAGGGAGTGCAGTGAGCTTCCACTGTTAGCTCCAGCTTCTGCCAACATAGCAGTTTGAAAACATGGAAATGTGAGTAGATCAATAGGTACCTCTCCAGAGGGAAGCTAATGGCGCGCCACGCAGTCATGCTGGCCACATGACCTTGGAGGTGTCTATTGGGAGGGGAGAGACTGACTACCCACAAAAGGCACAACAACCAGCCTCCTGACTGCTGATTCTCCCCCTCCTCCTTCCTACTCCTTCCCCCTCCGCCTTCCCACTGAGCAGAGCCATTCCATGTGGTGCCTGGAAGCGTGGGTGCCTTAGTGTCTTCTTTTTTAGGCCTGTTCCTGGGATTATTTGGGGGTTGATTCAGAAAATTGCATTGGATAGACCACATCAGCTCTAGATTATTATGGTCTTCTGTAGGCAAGCAGATGGCAACCTCTGGAATGGATAACATATGTTCTGTATCAGTAACTAGAGCTGATGTGGTCTATCCAATGCAGTTCTCTGGATCAGCACCCCAAATAACCAAATTGAATCTAAAGTTGACCAAAAACTGATTCATAACCCTTTTGATACTAATGTTGGAAAGTGGTTCCTGGTAAAAAAATAAATTGGGAACCATTGATTTAGAGCAGTGGTTCTCAACCTTTGGGTCCCCAGGCGTTTTGGCCTACAACTCCCAGGAATCTTAGCCAGTTTACCAGCTGTTAGGATTTCTGAGAGTTGAAGGCCAAAACATCTGGGGACCCACAGGTTGAGAACCACTGATCTAGAGGGCAATGAAAAATATTCTGCACATGTTTTTTGCATATCACTGTCCTCATTATTTTTCCAAGTGTTTTCAGGTGCAAGCCTCCCATTCAAAATAGGCTCAGGTTCTAAGTCCAGGCGGGATCTATCTATTAAGCCTTGAAACATTACAACTATTGATTGTAATAATGCTGATATTTCTACCAACAAAGACTACTGTTCATAAAAAGCAGTTTACCTTTAACACAGGAAGACTCGTTGGCCTGCTTATAGTAGTAAGGAAAAAAATCCATTCCCATATTCAGTCTTCAACAAACGTAAACAAACTTAATCTCCTTGAATGAAACTTAAGGAGATAGGAAAATAAATTTTCCTCAAGTGTTCTGAATGCTGCTCTCAGTGTCAAGGAAGTTTGCTTAACAAAGACCTCCCTGTTTCCTTTACATCATGTAAAACTTCCTGGTTTGCAGGATCCTGTTCCAGTCATTTTTAAAAAATTAGGTCCTTTGTTTTGTTGTTATTTCTCGATCCTGGTGACCGTAGCTTGTTCATTTCCTTATCACTGCAAACAAGACTTTCTAGGAAAGTAAATTTCCTCGAAACAGTGTTCCACAATTCTATATATTCCATATATTGTAGAAATAGGTCAGTATGAGCACTGCTTCAGATGTACCACAGCCATTTATGATTGCACTGTCCAGAGTTTTGCTTCGATAGAGAGAGGATGTTTTCTGCAAATTCAGCTGATGGCTTTGGTTCCTGGGGCCTTGAATCAAGGCTTAGTGATTCTGAAAGTAGGCGTCTTTTGGTCATGCAGTACTTCAAATTGTGTAAATCAAAGGGGAAAAAAATCCCTGTTTTTTGTTTATTCAGAGAACGAATAATTGCTTCTCAATGCAAATATCCTTCAGGCATTTCACAACAGTTAATACACAAAATAAAATCCAAACAATTATTCTTTTTGAAAAAGGGCAGGAGAAATAAGATCATTTAAAAAGATCTAGCTTTTTTTTTAAAAAAAGAACTGTGTCGGATACTATTAAAACATTATAGATGCATGACTGACTGATACCTGACAACAGGTGGTATGAAGCAAACCTTTCCAGAGAGGTACTCATTTTGAGTGCCATAGGAATCCTATTTGAAATTCCTTTAGAACAGTTATGGGTCAACTTAAGCCCTCCAGGTGTTTTGGACATCAACTCCCACAATTCCTAACAGCCGGCTGTTAGGAATTGTGGGAGTTGATGTCCAAAACACCTGGAGGGCTTAAGTTGACCCATATCTGTTCTAAAGGTAGGCTGTTAGGAATTGTGGGAGTTGATGTCCAAAACACCTGGAGGGCCAAGGTTTGCACATGCCTGTGCTTGAATTTGCACAAGTTGGTTCCTGGAAGTAAGAAGCATCTTTTCCTGCAATCCCTCTACAGCAGTGGTTCTCAGCCTTGCTAATGCCATAATCCCTAAATAAAGTTCCTCATGTTGTGGTGACCCCCAACCATAACATTATTTTCATTGCTACTTCACAACTGTAATTTTGCTACTGTTATGAATCGTAATGTAAATATCTGATATCCAGAATATATTTTCATTCACTGGACCAAATTTGGCACAAATACTCAATACACCCAAATTTGAATACTGGTGAGATTGGGAGGGATTGATTTTGTCATTTGGGAGTTGTAGTTGCTGGGATTTATAGTTCACCTACAATTAAAGAGCATTATGAACTCCACCAACAATGGAATTGAACCAAACTTGGCACACAGAACTCCCATGACCAACAGAAAACAATGGAAGGGTTTCCTGGGCACTGACCTTGAGTTTTGGAGTTGTAGTTCACCTACATCCAGAGAGCACTGTGGATTCAAACAGTGATGGATCTGGACCAAACTTGGCATGAATCCTCAATATGCCCAAATATGAACACTGTTGGAGTTTGGGGAAATAGACCTTAACATTTGGGAGTTGTAGTTACTGGGATTAATAGTTCACTTACAATCAACCACCTTGATTAGCATATAATGGCCTGACAGTGCCTAGAGCAAACTTTTGTTGAGAGTTGATTTGATGTCCTTGTTTGTTTCCTCTCTGTTGTTGTGCTGTTGTAATTTTAGAGTTTTTTTAATACTGGTAGCCAGATTTTATTCATTTTCATGGTGTCCTCCTTTCTGTTGAAATTGTCCACATGCTTGTCAGGCCATTATATGCTAACCAAGGTGGTCAGTTGAAACATTCACACCTAGCTCCATTCTACAGATATATAAACCCTTTTTCCTAGTTCCAACAGACCTCACTACCTCTGAGGATGCTTGCCATAGATGCAGGTGAAATGTCAGGAGAGAATGCCTCTAGACCATGGCCATATAGCCTGAAAAAACCTACAACAACCCAGTGATTCCGGCCGTGAAAGCCTTTGACAATACTCTGCTCTAGAGATTTGAAAACTTCATTTTTGTATTTCAACTCCCAGCTCTGGGCAGCATCTTTGACCATTATTTCCCAAGTTAAATACAAGGCTACTCTTAGTACTAGCAACGCCAGCAGAAACCATATATTTTGATTTTAGCTCTCAGAATCTCCCACCTAGCATGGCTACTTGACATCAGAAAGTAGGTCAGATATAGAAGGACCTCAAACATGATTTTAAGCAGTACATGGTCTCTTTCCATAATTCTTAGAATATGTTGCAAGAGTAATTAAAGTGAAGTTAGCAGCTCCTAGGCAGAGTTTGGAAAAGTTGCTATTTTGGACTGCTAGAATCCTTTTTTGGTGCAATTCTAGGAAGTTATACCCTTAACAGTATCTGACATTTCCATGCCCTGCTCTTAAAGCTATCAGATGCATTACAGAGAGGCGCCAGGTGAAGGTTAGGATCCACATGCCACTCAGATCCAACTGAAGTCTGTGTGTTGTCCTTTGAAAAATGTAATCCTCTCTTTTATTGCTTCTGCAGAACAATAACTTCTTCTTCTAAGAATGTTGTTTACATTTAATTAAACCAAATAGCTCGACCAAACTGTTATATCCAGCATTCCTTTTATATCCCCATCCCCCTGAAGCATAACGTTCGTAGAAAATTTGTGAAGTATCTTTTCTGTTGTTCCTCTTGTTTCCAAAACAATAAAAGGAAATTATGGTGTCTATAACAGTTGGAATCTGTGATTTGCCATCAAGGACACTTTATGAAGTCCTTGCTTGGCATAGCAGTATGGTACAAAACAGATCTCTTTGCTTTGCACTTGGGATTGTAGCTGAAAAGACTATGTGTTGTTGAAGGCTTTCATGGCCGGAATCACTAGGTTTCTGGGCTGTATGGCCATGTTCCAGAAGCATTCTCTCCTGACGTTTCACCCACATCTATGGCAGGCATCCTCAGAGGTTGTCCCACCCTGGACATTCCACAAATATATAAACCCTACTTGCCTAGTTTCCGACAGACCTCACAACCTACCATAGATGTGGGTGAATCGTTAGGAGAGAATGCTTCTAGAACATGAGCATACAGCCTGAAAAATTCACAGTAACCCAGAAAAGACTATCTTTTTGGGGGAAGAAAAGATCTTATGGTAGCCTTCTTCAACCTGATACCTTCTAGATCTACTGGACTACAACTTACATCATTCCCAAGGACCAGTCAATGTTGATTATGTTGTTTAGGAATAGTAGAAGTTGTAATGTATCCATCAGAAGAGTAGTAGCTTGGTGAAGATTTAAAGAAACTTGCTTAAGAAACATGGGTGTATCAGAATCCATTTCTTGCTAGATATAAAAAAATCTCCTCTCATTTACACCCTGTTCATGGTTAAGAAAGGCTATGTGGAGACAAAAACATTTTCACATTCTATGCATTCTCTCCTGACATTTCGCCTGCATCTATGGCAGGCATCCTCAGAGGTTGTGAGACCTCACAACCTCTGAGAATGCCTGCCATAGATGAAGGTGAAACGTCAGAAGAGAATGCTTCTAGAACATGGCCATATAGCCTGAAAAACCTTCAACAACCCTATTTGCTACAACTTTGAGATCATTCTTGGCCATTGCTTGCCTGCCAGACCTGCAACAACTGGCAAGAGGTGTATATTTGCCATAATATGACAAAGTATATGATACTTGCTTATTTTGAATCAGGCTAAATCTGGAGTTCTTTGCAAACCTTTTTAAAGAATCCAACCTACATAATTTCATGCTGTCAGCAAACTTGGTGACCTCACTGCTGAACATATGGTTCTAAATAGCCCGTGGGCCCTTGCAAAGAATCCTGGGGATTATTGAGTTTCTTTTTTTTAAAAAGAATGCCACCAGCCGGTAATAGAAAGACATTTTAGGATCACCCAGTTGTTATGCTCTTAATAGTTCAAAAGAAGTAAAGCATAGAAAACGAGAAAAAGCAATCTTTCATTTATTAGTTTTTCATGTTTTACTGAATTAAAAGTAACCCCTTGAATGTTTAGGATTCCTTTGAACATCTTTGTCCCTTTGAAGGGCAGCAGTTCTTGGTCTCTTGATCTACCTGGAATACACTGTGGAAAGCAGGTTTATTAGATTGTTGTAAGTTTTTTGTGCTGTATGGCCATGTTCCAGAAGCATTATCTCCTGACGTTTTGCCTGCAGGCATCCTCAGAGGTTGTGAGGTCTGTTGGAAACTAGGAAAATGGGATTTATATATCTGTGGAATGTCCAGGGTGGGCGAAAGAACTCTTGTCTGTTGGAGGCAAGTGTGAATGTTTCAACTGGCCACCTTGATTAGCATTTAAGGGACTAGCAGTTTCAAGGTGTAATTTTTTACTGCCTGGGGGAATCCTTTGTTGAAAGGTGATTAGCCATACAGCCCCCAAAACTTTCAACAACCCAGTGATTCCAGCCATTGACAGCCTTCAACAATACAGGTTTATTAGGGTCTCCACCACAGAAAGGACACAGCAGTGGAAAACTGCAGTTTCTTTTCTCCATGCTTGATTGTAATGTGTATACTAAGCATTATTATTCTTACATCCTGCCTTTTTCTTGTCATGGGGCCCAAAGCAGCTTGCAATTATACAATCCAGTTATAGTGTACAATCTAAGTAGCCACCCTGGGTCCGATTGTGAGAGAAAGGCAAGAAATCAATCAATCAGTCAAACAATTATTTATTTATTATTTCACAGTTTTCTATACCGAGCTTCTCAACCTCATTGAGGGACTCAGCCCGGTTTCCAGCCATAAAAACATACAAACAATATGGTCCCCATATCCGCTAGTCTGGCACCCGCAGTTTCACTTACCCATATTTGGAAAAATATGTTATCTCTAGGTATTTTTTTAGTTTTTTGGTGTGATTATGTGGTATATGTCAGGCTTGGGCAAACTTAGCCCTCCAGGTGTTTAGGACTTCAACCCCCACGATTCCTAACAGCCTACCTTGAGGGCCAAAGTTTGCCCATGCCTGGAATAGACTGTGGTAGTCCCACTATATTCTTCACTAGTCAGGTCTTAAATCTGGAGTTCTGCCTTCTGTTTATGAATGATATAAAAGTTGGAACATGTTCAGAGAAAGAGAACAGGGATGATAATCATTACATAAAACAAACATATGAGGAAAGGTTGAGAATGTGGGCATGTTCAACTTGAGGAAGAGAATACTATGAAGGGCAAAGTGATTCCACTCTAGAGGACTATTACAGAGCGGAAGCGCAGGTTTGCAGTCTTTTGTTTTAGAGGGTAGGACCAGGTTCGAATGATTTTAAGTTATGGGAGGGTTGGTTTTGATCAGCGTTGACAGTAAGAGCTGTAATTCATTGGGAACAATGACCTAGAGAGGTGGTGGTCTCTCTTTCTCTGGGTTTTCTCAAGAAGAAACTAGACAGCTACCAGCTGGGGATGTTCTAGCTCAGTGTTTCTCAACCTGGGAGTCAGGATCCCCGGGGGGGGGGGGGTTGCGAGGGGGTGTCAGAGGGGTCACCAAAGACCATCAGAAAATAGAGTTCTTTTCTGTTGGTCATGGGGGTTCTGTATGGGATGTTTGGACTAATTCTATGGTTGGTGGGGCTCAGAATGTATTTAGAACATTTATATCCCATCCTATTCTTGACCTCCAAAGAGGGACTCAGGGCGGCTAAGAGTCTCAGGGCAGCTGTTTGATTGTAGGTGAACTATACATCTCAACTACAACTCCCCAAAGTCAAGGTATATTTTCCCCAAACTCCACCAGTATTCACTTTTAGGCATATTTTTAGGCAAGTTTGGTCCAGTTACATCATTGTTTGAGTCCACAGTGCTCTCTGGAAGTTGGTGAACTACAACTCCAAAACTCAAGGTCAATGCGCACCAAACCCTTCCAGTATTTTCTGTTGGTTTTAAGTTATGGGAGGATTGGTTTTGATCAGTGTTGACAGTAAGGGCTGTAATTCATTGGGAACAATGACCCAGAAAAGTGGTGATCTTTCTTTCTCTGGATTTCCTCAAGAAGAAGCTAGACAGCTACCTTCTGGGGGTGTCCTAGCTCAGTGTTTCTCAACCTGGGGGTCGGGACCCCTGGTAGGGGTTGTGGGGTGTGTGTGTCAGAGTGGTCACCAAAGACCATCAGAAAACACAGTTTTTTTCTGTTGGTCATGGGGGTTCTGTGTGGGAAGTTATGCCCTATTCTATTATTGGTGGGGTTCAGAATGCTCTTTGATTGTTAGTGAACTATAAATCCTAGCAACTACAACTCCCAAATGTCAGGGTATATTTTCCCCAAATTCCACCAGTATTCACATTTAGGCATATTGAGTATTCATGCCAAATTTGGTTCAGATCCATCATCGTTTGAGCCCACAGTGCTCTCTGGATGTCGGTGAACTATGACTGCAAAACTCAAGATCAATGCCCACCAAACCCTTCCAGTATTTTCTCCTGGTTACGGAAATTCTGTGTGCCAAGTTTGGTTCAATTACATTGTTGGTGGAGTTCAGAATGCTCTTTGATTGTAGGTAACTTTAAATCCCAGCAACTACAACTCCCAAATGACAAAATCAACCCCCCCAACCCCTCCAGTATTCAATTTTGGGTGTATCAGATATTTGTGCCAAATTTGGTTCAGTGAATGAAAATACACCCTGCATATTAGATATTTACATTATGATTCATAACACTAGCAAAATTACTGTTATGAAGTAGCAATGAAAATAATGTTATGGTTGGGGGTCACCACAACATGGGGAACTGTATTAAGGGGTCACGGCAGTAGGAAGGTTAGAAACCACTGTCCTAGCTGAAGTTGCTGAGTTGAACAGTTGTTGGACCTGATGGCCTGTGTGGCCCCCTCCAACTCCGATTCTATGAAAAGGCTTGTGAAACGTGTTTATGTGTTTCTTCCTTTCTTCCTAGGGCGTATTGGAAAGTTTCCTTGGTACAGCTGTTTCAGGAGCTGTCTTTTGCCTTTTGGCCGGCCAGCCACTCACTATACTGAGCAGCACTGGCCCTGTTTTGGTCTTTGAGCGGCTTTTATTTAATTTTAGCAAGTAAGTACAAGAAGCTACTGCCTGGGAATCGTGCCACTTTCCCTTCTAGCAGAATGTTCTTTTCTTTGAAAGACCAGAAAACAAGATATTTAAAGGGAAGGTATCTGCACCGCAATCTGATATCTTCATGGTGCAAAGGAGAGATTACTGTCATGAAAGAGGAAAGTGGAGAGGGTGATATTGGCATCACATTGCCAGCTGTAGCTTTAGAATATTTCCAAAGACAAATCACAAGAAAATGCAAACCTGGACTGTGTTGTGCAGCCTTGTTTCTATTTTGCTAATGCAGCCTCATTGAAAACCAAGTTCCTCTTTTAAATGGGAATTAACTGTTACCAAGTTGGTCTCCAAGAGCAAATGAGCATCTGTATTAGGGAGTCTGAAACTTGTTCTAGTAACCCCTTCGCACCCTGAAAAGAGAATAGCCATGATGAAGTTCCCTCTTAGTCAGGGCATTGGTCCATTTAATCCAGTAATATTTTCAGTGAAGATAATGGCTTTTCCAAACTGGTGTCCTTTTGATTGTACTCAAGACGTTATGGATGCCTAGCTTATGTTTCCTTTCTTTAGGGCCATCAACTGTTTACCTTAATATCCAGTCATTAATCATATTTGGAGGATTTATGGATTTCTGCTTGTTGTAGTCATAATAGTGACAATGCAGAATTACAACACCCTGATGTGCATAGTTTCACTGGGACAGAGACAGTGGAAATGGGCATGAAAGTACGTGGTTAATGTCTAGTTGGCATAGGAGAAAGTAAGACAATATCTGTATGTACTGTATAGTAAGAATAGTTTGATATTGCTTTCCCTGCTGTGGCCTGCTATCACACAATCCTGGGCTTTGCTCTTTGGTGAAATACTTGGAATTTTCTGCTAGGAAACTCCTGTCTTGTAACTTAAACAGAGGCTGGATGGCCATCTGTCAGGGGTGCTTTGAATGCAATATTCCTGCTTCTTGGCATGGGGTTGGATTGGATGGCCCATGAGGTCTCTTCCAACTCTATGATTCTATGATTCTAACTGAGTGAATGTACTTGAGCAGTCAATCTGAAAATTTCGTGTAAATGACAAAAACTACAAAGCCCACTATACTTATAGTGGTATAACACTGCTTTAATGATGCAACATAGATGCACTTTGAGCTCTAGAGTTGGAATGCCTTTTTCTCATCCTAGAAGGTGATCAATGAGTACTTTACATGCATATGTATGTGTGTGGGTGGATATATATGTGTGTGGTGTGTGTGTGTTTTGCATAATTTGATGTACCTTTTTTTCTCCAGCCATTTTTAAAATGTCTTCCATTTTTTAATTTTTCACTTTACTTGTAGAGATAATAGCTTTGACTATCTGGAGTTCCGCCTCTGGATTGGCTTGTGGTCAGCCTTCCTTTGTCTCCTTCTGGTTGCTACTGATGCCAGCTTCTTGGTCCAGTACTTCACCCGTTTCACAGAAGAAGGGTTCTCTTCCTTGATCAGCTTCATTTTCATTTATGATGCATTCAAGAAGATGATCAAATTAGCAGATCATTACCCCATCAATTCCCATTTTAAAGAGGACGACATCACACTTTATTCCTGTACCTGTGCACCTCCAGATCCAGGTAAGAAGGAGCTTTGTTGTTCACCTTTTCACGTGCACATGATTTTTCAGTGGTTTAATGAATTAACATACAGTACTTCCAACCCTTTGTCTCTTGGCATCCAATATTAATAACCCTACACATAGCACTGTCACATAGCACCTCTTAGTAGTAATGTATATTGCAGTTGGTTCCATCAATTCAGTGTTTCTCAACCTTGGGACCCCTGGGAGGGTCTCAAGGGGGGTGTCAGAGGGGTCACCAAAGACCATCAGAAAACAGAGCCTTTTCTGTTAATTATGGGGGTTCTGTGTGGGAAGTTTGGCCCAATTCTATCATTGGTGGTGTTCAGAATGCTCTTTGATTGTAGGTGAACTATAAATCCCTGCAACCACAATTTCCAAATGTCAAGGTTTATTTTCCCCAAACTCCACCAGTGTTCACATTTGGGCCTTTTGAGTATCCATGCCAACTTTAGACCAGATTCATCATTGTTTTAGTCCACAGTGCTCTCAGAATGTAGGTGAACTACAACTCCAAAACTCAAGCTGGCATTAGGAAGGTTGAGAATCACTGCATTAATTCTTGGATGGGCAATGTCTGACCATGGAATGCCACATTTGCTGCACAGAAATGCTTTTCTAACCAAAGTCAAGTGCAAGCATTCAGTGTATCTCTCAAACAGTAACATCATCTGGTATCCTCCCTATCCATCTCAGGTGGCATATGTCTAATGTTTTTAATTTCATTTAGTGCATGAAAGTAATTTAATTCATTTACTATGCATTTAAGTTTAAACTGCAGTGCAAAGCCTTCTGAATCACAGGGTTGAGACTCAAGCCTGCCTGGAAGGATGGCACAGACTCCTCTCTGAAAGGGGACATATGGTGCATAGTTTGAAACTGTTCATCATAAACTAAGACATTTGGAAGGCAAAGCCAAAACAATCTGCTTGTTCTGGCTAAGTACAGCAGAGCTGATTTTGTCCTTTGTTTCATAGATGGGACCCAGGTGTGGGTTATAGCTTAGAAGCAGAATCTTGCACAAGACTCTCTGCTTCAACATACATATGTTCTCCACAAATGCATCATCTAGATCAGCGGTTCTCAACCTGGGGGTCTCGACCCCCCAGGGGGTCACTGGGCCATTTTCCGGGGGTCGCGAAGACACCTAAGTTAGCTCCGCCCCCCACCAAAATGGCTGCGGGATCCTGTGCGAGCCAAACAGCCAGGCGCTCCTGGTTGGCTCTCCTCTTCTCGCAGGACTGCAGGGAGTCAGGAGGAGGAGCTTGTAGGCAAAGGCATGCGCGGGGCCCTTGCCTCTTGCCTAGCAGAGAAGGGGCGAGGATTGAGCAGGCCACCCAATGCTCTCCTCTTGCCCCCCCCCCCAATCGCCTCAGAAGGTACAAGCCATGGAGGGAGCTACAGCCATGGAGGGAGCCTTTGCCACTCGCCTCTTGCATCCTCCAGCCTCGGAAGGTGCAAGGGGCGAGTGGCAGGCTCCCCGCATGGCTGCAGCCATGGAGGGTGCCTTTGCCACTCGCCTCTTGCACCCTCCAGCCTCGGAAGGCAAGGGGCGAGTGGCAGGCTCCCCTCATGGCTGCAGCCATGGAGGGTGCCTTTGCCACTCGCCTCTTGCACCTTCCAGCCTCGGAAGGCGCAAGGGGCGAGTGGCAGGCTCCCCTCATGGCTGCAGCCATGGAGGGTGCCTTTGCCACTCGCCTCTCGCACCCTCTGGCCTCTCAGGCAGCTGTGCCTGCACCACTCACAGGGCAGCAAAGAAGCCTCTTCAGGAAGTGAAGCGATTGAAGGTAGGATAAATCTAATCTTTTGTACATGCCTCTATTGTTTGTGGAGTTCAGAATGCTCTTTGGTGCCTGGTGAACTGCAATTCCCATATGTCAGGGTCTATTTTTCCCAACCCCCTCCAGTATTTTCTGTTATGACGTAGCAACAAAAATATGGTTGGGGGTCACCACAACATGGAGAACTGTATTTAGGGGTCACGGCATTGAGAACCATTGATCTAGATTAACATATCACCACCAGACAACAGCATAGCACGCACTGTCCAGCTGGAATTACTTATAAACTCTTAAACCTGATGACTTAAGTAAAGCTTGGCAAGACTATTTGAGGTTTCCAGATTTTCTGTACGTAGCTGTAATCCAACGTCTGGATTTGAAATAAGGTGTATGATTACACAACGAAAACACTGTAGTATAAAATCCTACATGTATTCATTATTTTATTGGCATGGAAGGTGAGCTTTTTGAGCCAGTTTTACTCCTTACAGCAGGCATGGGCAAACTTTAGCCCTCCAGGTGTTTTGGACTTCAACTCCCACAATTCCTAACAGCCTCAGTTCTTTTCTTCCCCCCTCAGGGGGAAAAGGAAAGGGCCTGAGGCTGTTAGGAATTATGGGAGTTAAAGTCCAAAACACCTGGAGGGCTAAAATTTGCCCATGCCTGACTTACAGTATAGCTGACATTGTTTTTCTTTGTTGTCCAAGAATTATCTCTTGACATTCTTTTCTAACTGCTTGGCACTCTTGAATGGAGTAACCGTCTGTCTGTGTTTGGCCGCATGCACATATCTATGTGTTCCCTTATAGCAGTGTTTCTCAACCTTCCTAATGCCAAAACTAAAAAAGTGAAGTTCAACAGGGACAAATGCAAGATACTCCACTTTGGCAGAAAAAACGAAATGCAAAGATACAGAATGGGGGATGCCTGGCTCGAGAGCAGTACGTGTGAAAAAGATCTTAGAGTCCTCGTGGACAACAAGTTAAACATGAGCCAACAATGTGATGTGGCAGCAAAAAAAGCCAATGGGATTTTGGCCTGCATCAATAGGAGCATAGTGTCTAGATCTAGGGAAGTAATGCTACCCCTCTACTCTGCTCTGGTTAGACCACACCTGGAATATTGTGTCCAATTCTGGGCACCACAATTCAAGAGAGATATTGACAAGCTGGAATGTGTCCAGAGGAGGGCGACTAAAATGATCAAGGGTCTGGAGAACAAGCCCTATGAGGAGCGGCTTAAGGAGCTGGGCATGTTTAGCCTGAAGAACAGAAGGCTGAGAGGAGATATGATAGCCATGTATAAATATGTGAGAGGAAGCCACAGGGAGGAGGGAGCAAGCTTGTTTTCTGCTTCCCTGGAGACTAGGACACGGAACAATGGCTTCAAACTACAAGAGAGGAGATTCCATCTGAACATGAGGAAGAACTTCCTGACTGTGAGAGCCGTTCAGCAGTGGAACTCTCTGCCCCGGAATGTGGTGGAGGCTCCTTCTTTGGAGGCTTTTAAACAGAGGCTGGATGGCCATCTGTCAGGGGTGCTTTGAATGCAATATTCCTGCTTCTTGGCAGGGGGTTGGACTGGATGGCCCATGAGGTCTCTTCCAACTCTTTGATTCTATGATTCTATGATTCTAAGTGCCCACCCCTTAATACAGTTCCTCACGTTATGGTGACCCCCAACCATAAAATTATTTTCGTTGCTACTTCATAACTGTAATTTTGCTATTGTTATGAATTGTAATGTAAATAGTTGATATGCAGGATGTATTTTCATGCAGTGGACCAAATTTGGCACAAATATCCAATACATCCAAATTTGAATACTGTGGGGTTGCAGGGGATTGATTTTGTCACTTGGGAGTTGTAGTTGCTGGGATTTATAGTTCACCTACAATCAAAGAGCATTCTGAACTCCACCAATGATGGAATTGAACCAAACTTGGCACACAGAACTCCGATGACCAACAGAAAATACTGGAAGAGTTTGGTGGGCATTATGCTTGAGTTTTGGAGTTGTAGTTCACCTACATCCTGAGAGCACTGTGGACTAAAACAATGATGGATCTGGACTAAACTTGGCATGGATACTCAATATGCCCAAATATGAACACTGGTGGAGTTTGGGGAAAATAGACCCTGACATTTTGTAGTTGCAGTTGCTGGGATTTTAAGTTTACCTACAATCAACGAGCATTCAGAACCCAACTAACGATAGAATTGGGCCAAACATCCCACACAGAACCCCCATAATCTACAGAAAATACTGTGTTTTATGCTGGTCTTTGGTGAACCCCCTGACACCACCTTGCGAGCCCCAGATTGAAAAACGCTGCCTTATATAGGAAGTCAGATAGCTTCTTTGCATGTTTAGTTCTGTAATGCCCATGGGCATTTGACAATAGTGCACTGAGCATGTGGACACACCAATTTTGATAGAGTTAACAAACAGTGGAAGAAGGTTTTACTGCTGAAGTGAAGCATTCACTTCACATTCAAATGTAATTGTGGGTTTCCTGCGTCCCCTGCTGTTGAGCAGCCAGTATTGCTTGAAATATGACTGGCTGACTAGCCACAGATAAAAATAATAAATAGATCACCAGATAGTATATAAAACTGTCTGGCTGCTTTTAAACAATGGGTTTACAGCTCCTTGCTTTCCCATGACTCTGTTTTTGGTGTGAATTTATTGTTGGCTGTTCCTTTGGAGAAAGTATACTTAAAAATGGAAGGATGGCTAAATAAAACTCATGGAGGTATATCATTGCACTGCATTGGTTAACAGCACACAAAAGTCTTGGCTCACTCCCAGCATGTATAACATTTATGTCGGCACTGTGTATATCGGCACGAGGCTGTGCAAGCTTTGTGCTTCTATTAAAAGCAACTGTAATTTTCCATTGAAGCATCTACTGTTTTCCCAGAAAATAGTGGATCTTTGGTGAATGAGGCAGGAAGTTTACAGTTAATTCTGCTCTATGCATATTTTTGCTTTGAATGGTGACTCTCTAGGCTTGGTTCTCTGAAGTTCTTCACTTCATTGAGACCATACAAGAAGGAAGGACATTCTGATCCTCATGCCATTGTAAGGGGATAATGTTCTCCCCATCAGCATACGGACTGCAGACTTATTTATATATTTATTGTGTCAGAAGCAAATTGAGGGTACAGTTGTAATGTATTTAAAAACACAAAGTTAAAAACTTGGCATTATACTAAATGTCCTTTGACCAGAAGATGGCCACTTAGAGTGCCTCTGGTGTTGCTAAAAGAAGGTTCTCCATTGTGCATGTGGCAGGGCTTAGGCTGCATTGTAATAAGTGGTCTGTGTTTGCTCTTCTCCACACTCGCATGTCATGGACTCCATTTTGTAGCCCCATTTCTTAGGGTTGGCTCTGCATCTCATGGTAACAGGGCACAATCTGTTCAGTGCCTTCCAAGTTGCCAAGTCTTCTGTGTGCCCAAGAGGGAGTCTCTCATCCGGTATCAGCCACAGATTGAGGTTCCATGTTTTAGTCTGCTACTTTTGGACTCTCACTTGCTGAGGTGTTCCTGCGAGTATCTCTGTAGATATTAGAAAGCTATTTCTTGATTGAAGACATTGACCAGAGTTGTCACTGCCTTGGTCCTTTCATTATTGGCTGGTACTTTCTCAGCAGAATCAGGTGGTGCAAACAGTATGATTTCTCCAGTGGTGTAGGACGTAGACATTCTGTGATACTGTGGCATGTCTCATTAAGAGCCATATCCACTGTTTTCCATATCCACTCATTAAGAGCCATATCCACTGACTAAAGCGTGGGGATTGCCATCCGCCATCCGTGCTTCTCATTTTAGAAATGGTTCAAAATCTCTGCTTCCAAAACTCTGTTTTTCCATTGGAGTAAAGTATTTATTTATTTATTTATTTATTTATCGTGTCTGGGGCAATCAGAGAATTGTATTACATTTCTAACAGAACAAAACAAACAAACAAACAGACAAAACACAAAATTTGTAAGCTTGGTAGTTGATTAAATGTCCTTTGACCAGTATCTGGCCACTTGGAGTGCTTCTGGTATTGCCCCAAGAAGGTCCTCCATTGTGCATGTGGCAGGGCTCAGGTTGCATTGCAGCAGGTGGTCTGTAGTTTGCTCTTCTCCACACTCGCATGCCGTAGATTCCACTTTGTAGCCCAATTTCTTAAGATTGGCTCTGCATCTTGTGGTGCCAGAGCGCAATCTGTTCAGCACCTTCCAAGTCGCCCAGTTTTCTGTGTGCCCAGGGGGGAGTCTCTCATTTGGTATCAGCCATTGGTTGAGGTTCTGAGTTTGAGCCTGCCACTTTTGGACTCTCGCTTGCTGAGGTGTTCCAGCGAGTGTCTCTGTAGATCTTAGAAAACTATTTCTTGATTTAAGTCATTGACGTCCTGGCTGATACCCAAATGAGGGATGAGCTGGAGATGTCACTGCCTTGATCCTTTCATGACATGAAAGGACATGAGAGAAGCCTCCTCGCAGGATTGCAAGACATCCGGGCGTCCCCTGGGCAACGTCTTTGTAGACAGCTGATTCTCTCACTCCAGAAGCAACCAGAAGCAACTTGCAGCATGCAAACAAGCAAGCATTGGAGTAAAGTGACATGCTAACTTTCTTCAACCTGTTTTTCTTCAATCATGTCCTTCCTATAAAATTTGCTGTAACAAAAAGTTCTGCATTTTGCAAGATAACAAAAAGATATCAAAAAGTTCTGCATTTTGCAATATACTGTTGATACGAAGACTTGTGGCAATATCTCAAATACACCATTAGTGTTCTTCATACACTGTATAGACATTTTTAAAATAAATGTTATTTAAGTTGTTATTATTCTTTGGTGTACATTATAGACATGTTTTAGTTTTCCCCCCTGAAATCCTGACAAGTTGGTGTCACTTTTTTCCCACGAACACAAAAAGGAAAATGCTGAGTCTTGTTTCTCCTTTAATTGGAAGCTGAACCATTCTGCCTTTCAAATTATTATCCCTATATAATAAAAGGATAAAATGGCAGAGTTGATAGTGTGGCTCTTGTTAAGCAGATAAAATGTGCTTTGATCTCCTGGATAAAACGGGGATTTATGAATGATGAATTTACAATGCCACATTGATAAGTTTTCCAGCCTCTAGTCAAACAGGCACCAAAATAATCTGAGGCAGTTATAGATTTTTCCACATCAGGTAACAATGAAATGATGTAAGTTGCAAGTTGTAGCATAACACGTTCCCTTTGCTTTTTGAAGCTTTTCTATGCGTTTAGGAGTAATTCTGAATACTTATATGGGCTGTTTATAGCTTCTGGCTTAAGAGGATTGGGAAACTTGATATTATTTTTAGATCGGTGGAAGGTCGCTCAGCTGTGAGTTTTCTTTTAATTGCAGCAGTTTCCCTGCTAGGATTGAAGTGATGCATGAAAAGAAACACATTGCATTCTGCTCTCTTCTCTTGCAGTCAATGCCTCCTTATTCAATGAGACAACCACACCATCGTGGTCTGCAAATAACTATGCTGAGATGGTAAGTGGAGCTAATGGGGAAAATAGACTTTCAAAATCTCCTGTTCATTCAATGCAATTACACTTGACTTTTTTATGAGTCATTTCCACTTTTATTCCTAATGCCTGTGTGGCAAGACTTTGCTTCAGAAAAGCACATTTCCTTAGGTATTGAATTTCCCTTATCAGCTTTAAATTGGTAATTATCAATCAATTGCCAGTAGTAAATCTAAATAGTGTCTGAAGGAAGAAAGATTATCAAGGCTGAATATTCAAAGTTTATCAAAACTGGATTACAAATGCATTCCATTAACTGTAGGAAATGATTTACTTTGCGAGCCTATTTCCTGAGAAGTAAATCCCAACGGACATCAGTTAGCCTTTCTCCCAGTAAGTGCATATTAGATTGAAATTTTAAAGGTTTTTGATAGCAAAATTCAATATATATATATATATGTGTGTATGTATATATATATATATATATATATATATATATATATATATATATATATATATTCAAAAACACAGTTTAAGGTATGTATGTGTGTTTGCTTTATAGTTACTGCCTGTGCTTATCATATATATAACTGATACACTAGTGTTTTGGGGATCAAAAAGTATAGGATTTCGATATAAACCCTGGATAATAAATAGGCTTGTACATTTGGGTGATTTTCTAGCAATTTCAGTTTACCTGATACCATAGGCCCCCCATATCTGTTTTCCAGTTCCTCCCGAAAATGGGTGTGCTGCCGAATGGCCATTTTTGTTCTTCATCCAAAAAACCTGGTTCTTTTTGGCCCATTGGTGGTAATGAGGAACTTGCGAGGCTCCCCTTTCCCTTGGGAGCCTTTCCTTTCTTCCCTTCAGCAACAGGGTTAAGAAAGCACCCTATCTAGCTCTTATTGGGGGTCTTAATAAAGGATATGAAAGGGGAACCTATCCACAGGCTTCCCTTCCATAACCTTCCATAACTTCATTAAGACCTGGATTTAAAAAAAAAACATCAGAGTTACCACTCTTTCTGGATCCTTTCTCTTTGTAGAGAAGGAGATCGGGTTTAATGCTTCTTAAAGTTATTCTAATGTAAAGGAGAGGCAGGCATACACACTTTCTCTACCAGCACCAGCAGCACACCATGCAGCTTTCCAAGGCATTTTAAGGAGGCCCAGGGAAGGAAGAGTGATGACCTTGAGCTCAGTGGAGCTATCCTCTCTGGACTACCTTAAAAAAGCCCTCTCGTGCCTGCTATCTCCTTTTTGCCTGGGGTTTTGCTTCCAGCGGTTTTACTTTCTACTCTAGAGGAGAAGTGGGCTTCTCTTTTTGTTTGCTGGGATTACTATTATTATTATTATTATTATTATTAATAATAATAATAATAATCTTTTAGAAGTATTTTCTGAAGGAGAGGAAGGGAAGGAGAAAAAGAAGCTAAAATGGTGAAAGCCCTCAAACACGCACACACCCTATCCACTGTCCTTCAGGTCCCCAACTTCCAGTTAATCCCACTAAATTTTTAAAAAATCAGGAAAATAATTTAAAAAATCAACTGTGATGCCGAATAGGGAAAGAGGAGCCGAGATTGACTCCAGCTTGCTTTCATTGTGGGTAGGTTCTCATACCAGGAAAACCTTAACTGTTACATGTTACGTGCTTCCGAAGGTACCAAAGGAAAATAGATCCACACACTACTCTAATGGATAAGTCAAGTGTCATTCTATGGAGAAACGTCTCACGTTGTCATTGCCACTTTTCTGTCCAGGCATTCAAGAAAACCTTTGCCTCTCTATTCAGAGAGAAGAATGGTTTCTTTTTATATATATATAAAGGTTTACAGCATTAGCTCTTCTCAAAAGAGGAACAATCTCATTCTCTCAGCAAAGTGTTGAAAGGGGAGAGATAACATAAAAGGAACACTAAGCACTTCTACTCTCTCAATGCCACCTTTTTTTCTCACTGAAGGATTCAGAAGGGCCAGAAGCATTAGTCAGGCAGAGAGAGAGAGTAAAAATTAATTTTTAAACCAATCATCAAAATTTTAACCTATGGGGAATAACACACACTCATTACTATTCTCACGTGGAAAATTCATGAACAGTCACTGTGGTTCACCATTGTTCTTTCTCCCAAACCACCCACATAACCAAAGAAGAGCAGTATAGCTTGGTTTGCACTGAGAAGGGTCTAATCAAAATCACAAAAGCATCCTTTTCAAAATTCTGCTAGGCAGCCAGGCAAATGAGAGGGAAATGTGCTGACTATGGTGATGTGCCGTGTCAAAGTGCCATCGCCTTAAGGTGCTTCTTGGACTTGATGTCCTACTTACATAGGAAATGGCATGTCCCATCAGTCTCTATGTGTGTCTGCTGCCAAAATAGCTGCTATTTTCTTCTTCTCGTTACCCCTGCTTGCTAAGGTCAGTACTATAGTCTGTTTCCTTTCCCATAGTATCTAGTGTTGTTGTTTATTTTTTTCAGATCGTGCTCGTTCTCATCTTGCATCAATCTTGTTCCTCTTCCTCTTATTTTCAATCAATTTATTCCCACTGCTTCTTTTTTCCTTTTGTTTTTCTCTCTGCTGAGAAACATAGATTGCAATCTAACTGGGGCAGAGAAATGATAGATAGATAGATAGATAGATAGATAGATAGATAGATAGATAGATAAGTAGAGAGCTAGACTAACAGATAGATATATAGATATCTCAGTAAAGTGTCCAGCTCCAGATTTTAAAAAAAACCAAACAAACTCCAGTTATCTTACAGCCAGGGGCAAACCATTTATGGCAAAAGAAGACTATGACATTCAATTCAAGCCCTATGGGAAAATGTAATTGATGATCTTGTGATGCAGGGACTTCACCCTCCCTAGCCACATTCTGTAAGGAATTAAAGACGTGGATGTTTCGTCATGTTTTCGATTGACGATTCCTCTGACAAATGGCCTGTATCATGACTTGAATTGTCATTCAATCCGATGTCCTATATTATATTAACTGATCCTGTTAATTTGCTCTGTTTCCATGATTTTTCCTATGCCATTATACATTGTCATCTACCTTACTAAACCACTTTATCCTTTAACTAGTTCACGTAGTGGTTTTCCTCCCCCCCTCCAAAATTAGTCTGCTGTTATTGTTGTTGCTAGCTATTTTTGTTATGTTGTTTTATGCTATTTTATGCTCCGCCTAAAGCAAGGACAAAGAAGACAGCAAGACGTAAGGTTGTGATGGGAAGTCAAGAAGAAAGTAAGCAGAAGAAGGATAGAAAGAGAGCAAAAAGAAGAAGAAGAAAAGAAAGAGAACGCAGACCGAAAGACTCCGTACGGCCAGTAAAAAACGAATACAGACGAAGCATGCATTAAGAAGAAGAGACAAGACGCACAGAAAAGAAGACGACCAAGAATAAAAGCACGGAACGAAGAACAGTTAACGTACGAAATGAGCAGCAGGGCACCGAATTAAAGAACAATGAATCAGAAAACGCCTAAGCCAGTACACGACTCACAATCATAGCATGAAGCGGGGCAGTTCGTGTCGCAGCGCAAAACATCCTAGGTAGGCTCCTACTACGAATAAGATCAATTAAGCACTAAAATCCCCGTCGAACCATTTCCCCCTAAACATACCCCATCTCCTCACCCTACTCCCCGACTCCGCACACACCCTTTACTCATCCTCAGTCCCAGCCGTATCCTCCACCTCCTCCCCCCCCCCCCCTCCTCCTCCTCCGTCCTCTCCTTCCTTCCTTCCTTTTCCCCCTCTCCTCCTCTTCCTCCTCCTCCTCCTCCTCCTTCTTCTGCCCCCAATCAGGCCATTCGATTCTCTTTAATTTCCTCATATTTTCTATTGTCGCTAATGTTTATTGAAAGGGAAGAAAAGAACACCAATAAGGAAATATTCTTAGGGTCTTCTAATTAACACTGATGCCAACTTGATTTATAGCACAATGGCACAATTGAATGGTCATCTCTACCAAAGGAGGAGTGCTTGAAATTTGGAGGAGTTCTGATGGGCAACAACTGCAAATATGTTCCTGACATTACTCTCATGTCATGTATCCTCTTCTTGGGAACCTACACCTGCTCTATGGCCTTGAAGAAGTTCAAGACCAGTCGTTACTTCCCAACTACTGTAAGTAGACTGACTTCTGCTATTTTCAATGTTCTTGTTGTTGTGGCCTCCATATCTGCGGCGGTTACATACCATGGAAATATGAAACCTCAGATAACAGTTGAAATAAATGCATTCTGATGGAAGCTTACCACAGAATTGTGCTGAAGGATCTAAAATACTTAGAGAGAACAACATTCTAGCATTTCTGGGGCCTCTAGTTTGGCTCTGTGATCAACTTCCAGCCTTAGCATGCCATAGAATTGCACTGGAGGACCTAGAATAGATCTAGACAGAACTTATGTTTTTCAGATGTAGATAAGTGAAATCATGAGTATGGTCCCACAAATACAGGGGATCATACTGTATCTCAAGTGGGTCACTTGACACATGAAGTACTTCCAGGATTACTTCATCTAGGTGTGTTACTATTGGTGAGGTGAAATGAAGGTTTTGTCCCCCAAAAAGGATTTTACCCTCAAGGAAATTGTCCTTTAGTCTAATATTGCAATAACGTAAAACTTGAGTTGAACATTTACAAACATAATTTAGGATTCAAAGTAAAGGGGGAAGCAGGGTGATGGGGATGTTGAAATACAGTAAATGTAGGTTCTAGTTGTAAATGATTTTCAATGTTTCACTCCCTGCAAAGGTAGAAATTTGGAAACTGAAGGAGTATTTCATGTGGGATGGCCAGAATTCCTATTTTGGGAGTTCATGCCCTCATTTTTCACTTTGTAGCTGCACCCCGTGCCTTGGACCCTGATTAAGTGTGGGCCCTGGTGTCTCTGACATGCGGGTGGATGGGAAGTGTCAATGCATGGGAGAATAGGTGGGCTGGCAAATTATGGCATGTTATAGCAGCACTGTCCCTCCCCTGGGTCATTTGGCACAGTGTGTAGGATTTGCAGAAGGCGTCAGAAAGCAAATTCCATCCCTCTGATTTGGTTTTGAGGTGTAAATTGGATGCAATATGTGTTTGCCCTGATTTACATGGGATTCTGGCACCTTTCCCAAGTGTCATTGAAACTGAGACTGAGTGAATGCCATTCTTAGATTCACATTCAAACTCAGAAGTTGGTGCTGCATAATGAATTCAAGTGAAAAGAAAGTAGCCATTTGGGTGTAGCGGGAACTCCTGTTTCCATCTGTGATCACTTGCAGTACATCTCAATTAATAAAAATCAGGCTTCTCTCATAGCATAGTTCTGTTTTTTCCATGTTAATGCCAGGATTAGGTCATTGCATTGAAATATACTCAGTTAAAACATATATAGAAGATAACATAGTGCCTGTGGTTCTCTCAGGTATGCTAAGAGTTTTGCTAATTGCAGTTTTTTGCCTGGTTTTCCTTACTTACTTCACCAAATAATATTACAAATTGTCTAATATTGCAAGTTATCTTCCAACAAGAGCTGACTGTATAAAAAAGTTCCTTAACTCTTGTCAGGAACTAATTTTGTCGGACAAGAAGTCTCTGCATAGGTGACGAAAGGAAGTGGTCCAATTACTCATTCACTTACCAAAGCTGATTTCCAACACTGCTAGTTATTTTCTTGAGGACTGATTTAGCCCTGTGGTTACTAGTTGCTAGTCCTCTATTTTACTGCTTCAAAGGCTTTTTTTCACATTGTGATTTCTTCCTTTTTGGTAGTGTTGTTAAGCTCATCAAAAACAAATGAGAAAATAGTATTTTTTTAAACGTTGCAGCCATGATAAAATCGTTACTACATACTCCATTTTTTTTTCAGGCAAGAAAGTTGATCAGTGACTTCGCCATCATTCTTTCCATTCTGATTTTCTGTGGAATTGATGCTCTGGTAGGTGTGGATACACCAAAACTCCTTGTGCCAAGTGAATTCAAGGTATGTCAAACACTCTTTCCACAGTTCAAATATTTGGGAACAGATTTTTTCTGGAGAAAAATTGACATCTGTGGCTCACAAAAAATGGTGCTCAAGGCTGCATGTAGACTATAGGTCACATTTAGCCCACCCCTATCTTAATTAATACATTTTATTTATTTATTCAATTTATATCCCACCTTTCTGCCTGAATGGGATTGATGTTTTTTCCCAGGCCTTTCCCCTTCAAATCCTCTTTTAGGAATCAGGAACTGTTCTGTTGGGGGTAATATATAGTCAGCTGGTAGATTGATTCTTCTCTTTGTTTGCTATGGACATTGTCATCATCCTTCCCTCACTGATGCCTGTATTTCTCTCTTTACCCACAAAGCCAACAAGCCCTCACCGAGGGTGGTTCATTGCCCCCTTTGGAGGGAACCCCTGGTGGGTCTACCTGGCAGCTGCCATCCCTGCTCTGCTGGTGACGATCCTCATCTTCATGGACCAGCAAATCACAGCTGTTATTGTCAACCGGAAGGAGCACAAACTCAAGGTGAGTACCTTTGTTACGGCAGGCTGTTCCAAAGAAAGGGTTTTTCTCCCTGGCACAGAAATGTGGTAGAATCGAATTCAACGGTTAGAGTTTCAGTTCAGTTAGAGGAGACCCATGAAATCAATGCAACTTGCATAAGTTTTGATTGAATCTGTCAATCTACTGTAATTGGGTTCAACATTTAGATTCAAACTGGAACGATTCCATCAGCACTGCCTCCGGAAAATCCTGCAAATCTGTTGGGAAGACAGGCGGACAAACATCAGCATGCTGGAAGAAGCAAAGACCACCAGCATTGAAGCGATGGTCCTCCGCCATCAACTCCGCTGGACTGGCGACGTTGTCCGGATGCCTGACCACCGTCTCCCAAAGCAGTTGCTCTACTCTGAACTCAAGAACGGAAAACGGAATGTGGGTGGACAGGAAAAGAGATTTAAAGATGGGCTCAAAGCCAACCTTAAAAACTCTGGCATAGACACTGAGAACTGGGAAGCCCTGGCCCTTGAGCGCTCCAGCTGGAGGTCAGCTGTGACCAGCAGTGCTGCAGAATTTGAAGAGGCACGAATGGAGGGCGAAAGGGAGAAGCGTGCCAAGAGGAAGGCGCGTCAAGTCAACCCCGACCGAGACCGCCTTCCACCTGGAAACCAATGCCCTCACTGCGGAAGAAGATGCAGAACAAGAATAGGGCTCCACAGCCACATACGGACCCACAAGAATACTGGAAGACAATCATCCTCAGAAAACGAGGGATCGCCTAACAGTAACAGTTAGATTCAAACTAATGGAGGAGATCATGTGATCCTTCAAATATTATTATCATACAGTTGGTCTTGTTATCAATGGGAGATTGATAACAGAACCATCTGTGTGTACCAACACATGTGTACACTAAAGTCCCCACCTAGTCAACCAAACATTGGCCCACTTGCCTTGTATGCCAACCCCATGGAAAGAGACTCCATACTCTCTGGCCTCCAAGCTGCATTTTACAAGTTCTCTGGGGTTCTGTACCAAGTGGACTCCTCTCTTCCTCCTTTCTTTCCTCTCTTCCTCCCAGTTGGTCTATCTCTTGTCCCATCTCAGCAGCCTTTTCTCTCTCAGCAGGTGAGTCCCACAGTCTGGCCTCCAGGTGGAATGGGAAAAAAGAGACATCCTGCAGTTTTTTCCCAAAACATTTTTGATTTGTGGTTGGTTGAACCCTTAAATGTGGAGCCTGTGGATAGAGAGGGCCAACTGTATGAATCCATGCTAGATTATGAATAAAACTCCCATTATTCATTTCCATTGGGTATACTGGCTAGGACTGGTGGGACAAATAAAACCCCAAAGGCTGTGCAATTCCCATTTTTGACTGAGACCTCTGAATCCATTCAGTGAATTAGGATATGCACATTTTCCTGACCCATTTGTGACTTACAGCAATAAAATTCAGTGTTACCACTTTGTTAGGTGTACCCTTCCTTCCTTCCTTCCTTCCTTACTTACTTACTTACTTACTTACTTACTTATGTGTGACATTAAAGAGATTTTTGGTAGATAATAATATGGGTGTACGAGGACATTGAGTGTTGCCATTGACTGTTTCTCAAAAATAGTTCTTCTTTGGAGGTGTACCAGGAGGGATGTAACTGCAGATTAACATGTAGGTGTTTGCTTAATTAAATTCAGACTGAACAGTTCACACCTTGAATCAGCAGCCCAGATGTTTCTAAATTAAGCTTGTTCTGTGAAACACAGGTTGGTCCACTTAGAAGCATAGAATCATGGAATAATAGAGTTGGAAGAGACCACATGAGCCATCCTGTCCAACCCCCTGCCATGTAGGAAAAGCACAAAGTACCCTAACAGATAGCAATTTGGTCCCTGTTTAAAAGCCTCCAATGAAGGAACGTCTACCACACTCTGATGCCACCACACTTGCCATTCAGTATCAAAATTATAACATTAATCAATTTAATGCATTTGTATAGAACTTCCAGTACTCTTCTCTCATCACCTTGAAGACATTAAATTGGATGACTTAGGCAGCATATGAACTCTGCAAGACTATTTTAAAGATTTTGACACTACTTTTATGATCAAATAAAAGGAGATGGTGTGAACTGCTTGTTTTGGAAGTCTTCAGGAGTAGAAATCCCCCCCTTTAAGTGAATTTCAGCTTCCCACCTGGCCTGTTTATCTATTTTCCAAAACCAGAGGTTTCTGGCCAGTTTTGGGTATTGTTTTGGTATTTGAGAGGAGCTAAGATCCAATGGGCAGAAAATTGGACCATTGTATCCTATTTGTTTCTTTAATTCCTTTTTATTTATATCCTTTCTTTCTCCTGTAAAGAGACCCAACTTACAATATGGGTTAAAAGAAAATACAGTGAAAACAATGGATAACACAGAAATTGTATACCTAATTAAAGAAGCAATCATATTAAATACGTTAATTTCAAAAGGGGCGTTTAGTGGTTTCTTGGTATCTGCTACAGTTTGGTTTGAGATACCAAAAGCAATAGATACTGAAGTCTCATTATATGCAATGGTCTTGTAAAATAGTGTTCCTTATATAAAATAGTGAAGAACTGTGGGAGAGAGCCAAAGGATCTGTGAAATGTCAGGAGGCTACAGCGAACCATTCCTACACATAAATGTAGTGTTTTGATACCCAACAAAACTAAGTACGTACCCAAGCTATATCCACTAGAATTGCCCATATCTAAATAATAAACTATAAACTAGATGTAACAACACTGGACATATTAGTCTAATCTCTGACTTATAAGAAGCACTGCTTGAATATGAAGCAAAAAATGGGTGCTAGAAATAATATCACATGAAAGCTTATTGGCACCACCTGGGGATCACCACCAGATACAGTGAAGACATCTGCCCTTGGGCTTTGCTACTCAGCTGCTGAATACTCATGGCCAGTGTGGAATACATCTCACCACACTAAAACAGTGGATGTGGCTCTTCATGAGACATGCTGCATTATCACTGGATGTCTCCACTCTACACCACTGGAGAAATTACACTTTTTAGCTGGTATTGCACCACCTGATATCCGTTGGGAAGTAGCAGCCAGTAATGTAAGGACCAAGGCATTGACATTTCCAACCCATCATCTGTTCGGATATCAACCAGCAAACCGATGCCTTAAATCAAGAAATAGCTTTCTAAGACCTACAGCGAAACTCGCAGGAACACCTCAGCAAGCAAGAGTTCAAAAGTGGCAGGTTAAAACCCCGAAACTTGGTTAGTGGCTGAGACTGGATGAGAAACTTCCCCCTGGGCACACAGAAGACTGGGCAACTTGGAAGGTACTGAACAGACTGTGCTCTGGCCCCACGAGATGCAGAGCCAACCTTAAGAAATGGGGCTTCAAAGTGGAATCCACGACATGCGAGTGCGGAGAAGAGCAAACCACTGACCACCTGCTGCAATGCAACCTGAGCCCTGCCACATGCACAGTGGAGGACCTTCTTACAGTGGCACCAGAGGCACTCCAAGTGGCCAGCTTCTGGTCAAATGACATTTAGTATAATGTCCAGTTTTTAACTATGCTTGTTGTTTTTTAATACAGTATAACAGTGTTTTCAATTCACCTCTGACATGATCAATAATTATCCTGTCTTCCTCTATGTGCATGTGTCTTAGTTTGGCTATCAAAATGGAAGGCAAGGTTAAACACAGGCTGAACATTCATTTCCTTGTTTCTTTGGGGTTAGTCACACAAATACCTCTTTTGTGTTCCATTCTCATACCGGAAGTGAATTTAGCTTGGAGAAAAGAGCCCGGAGGAATGGACTGGAGGGAGATAAGAAGGCGTATGATTTAGCTCTGCTTCCTCATTTTGATCTTCATTTTCCCCCTCCTTTCTCTTTATACATGAATGAGGCGGACACGTGGTTAAACCAACGTGGTTTCCATGATCACATCTAATTTGAACCCAAGAAGGAAAGTTAGGAATGTTTTCTAAAGAAATAGAAATGGCCTTTGTTTTGGATGAGGGTCAGGAAACCTTGCCCAGCCAAATGCTAAGCTTGGTAGGAAGTATGTTTTTAGACAGTGCCAGATTTAATTTTGTTGGGATGAACATTTGCTCCTTGTTTATTTCATTACAAGCCTCCCCATAGCATTTTCCCCCACCCCATCCCTTTGTATAGCAGGATAGAGAATTGTATTCAGCTCTCCCAGTATGAGCATGGATAAGACGTCAAGCTTTGTCTATTCCAAAAGAAGGTCAGCCTCTACAGACAAAAAGTAGATTGTAAACTCCTCAGGACGAATTATTCAAGTATATTTAAAACTGAGGGTGCTATATTAATCATGGCCATTTTTTGAGTCTTGGACTTCTAAGGCTTTGTGTGACCCCTTGATGATTGCTAAGCTTTTAATAAAGGATGGATCACATAATTCAAGCTTCATTTTTGCTAAGAATGTATGGCTGTGGTGCACAAAATATGCCCATGAACTACGTATGGTCTTGGGATTTTTTTATTTATTTGTCGTGTCAGGGCAACCAGTCGATTATATTACATTTCTAACAGAACAAATCAAACAAACAGACAAAATACAAAATTTGTGAGTTTGGTAGTTGATTAGATGTGACTTTGACCAGTATCTGGCCACTTGGAGTGCTTCTGGTGTTGCTGCAAGAAGGTCCTCCCTTGTGCATGTGGCAGGGCTCAGGTTGCATTGCAGCAGGTGGTCAGTGGTTTCCTCTTCTCCACACTCGCATACCGTGGATTCCACTTTGTGGCCCCATTTCTTAAGGTTGGCTCTGCATCTCGTGGTGCCAGAGCGCAGTCTGTTCAGCACCTTCCAAATCACCCCGTCTTCTGTGTGCCCAGGGGGGAGTCTCTCATTTGGTATCAACCATTGGTTGAGGTTCTGGGTTTGAGCCTGCCACTTTTGGACTCTCACTTGCTGAGGTGTTTCAGCAAGTGTCTCTGTTGATCTTAGAAAACTATTTCTAGATTTAAGTCGTTGACGTGCTGGCTGATACCCAAACAGGGGATGAGCTGGAGATGTCACTGCCTTGGTCCTTTCACTATTGGCTGCTACTTTCCGGCGGATGTCAGGTGGTGCAATACTGGCTAAGCAGTGTAATTTCTCCAGTGGTGTAGGGCGCAGACATCCCGTGATAATGCGGCATGTCTCATTAAGAGCCACAACCACTGTTTTAGTGTGGTGAGATGTGTTCCACACTGGGCATGCATACTCAGCAGCAGAGTAGCATAGCGCAAGGGCAGATGTCTTCACTGTATCTGGTTGTGATCCCCAGGTTGTGCCAGTCAGCTTTCGTATGATATTGTTTCTAGCACCCACTTTTTGCTTGATGTTCAGGCAGTGCTTCTTGTAGGTCAGAGCACGGTCCAGAGTGACTCCCAGGTATTTGGGTGTGTTGCAATGCTCCAGTGGGATTCCCTCCCAGGTAATCCTCAGAGCTCGGGATGCTTGTCTGTTCTTAAGGTGAAAGGCACATGTCTGTGTTTTAGATGGATTAGGGATCAGCTGGTTTTCCCTGTAATAGGCGGTAAGGGCACCTAGAGCTTCGGAAAGCTTCTGTTCTACCATCTCAAAGCTCCCTGCTTGAGCAGTAATGGCACGATCATCAGCATAGATGAAACTCTCTGTCCCTCCTGGCAGTGGCTGTAGTATCTGGCAGATACTACAATGTGATTCCCAAAGCCCTTAAATTTTGTTTTGCACATGCACTGTAGCTTTTTTGGCCACTGTTGTTTTTCAGTGTTTTTAGGCGTGATGGTCACTCGTTGGCCTGATAGGTGTCTTGTGTCCAAATTTGGTGTCAATTCATCCAGTGGTTTTTGAGTTCTGTGAATACCACAAATGAACATTACATTTTTATTTTTATAGATTTATTTATTTACTACATTTGTATACTGCCTTTCTCAGCTGGAGGCGACTCAAGGCGGTTCACAGTCGGCAGCGATTCAATGCCATAGCAATTATAAAAATACAGTTAAAGCAGTTATAAAAACAATTAAGGCATTTAATATGTGATATAAAAACAATACAGCCTGTAAAAACAAAATCCTTGTTGTCTCCTTATTAAAATTCATTGTCCAATTGCATCGTCGGTCGTTCCATATATTCATTTTCATTTAATGATGCTCCAGTAGTAAAAGCTTGCTCGAAGAGCCATGTTTAACCTTTTTGCGGAATGTCAGAAGGGAGGAAGCTAATATTATATCCCTGGGAAGGGTGTTTCATAGTTGAGGGGCCACCACTGAGAAGGCCCTGTCTCTCATTCCCACCAAACGCATCTGCAAGGAAGGCGGGATTGAGAGCAGGGCCTCCCCAGACGATCTTAAGGTTCTAGATGGTTCATTTTTTAAAGTATGTGGTTAATTGCAACTCCTAACATCCTCCACTGTTGACTGTTCTGACAAGCAATGAGTGTATGGATTGGGCAGCATCTAGAGCAGTGGTTCTCAACCTGCGAGTCCCCAGATGTTTTGGCCTTCAACTCCCAGAAAGCCTAACTGGCTGGGTTTTCTGGGAGTTGTAGGCCAAAACACCTGGGGCCCACAGGTTGAGAACTCCTAATTTGGAGGACTATACTTTCTCAACTGCTGCTGGACACTTTGTAATAAAAGACTCCTCATCTAAATCATTGGGTCTCAACCATGACTTAATCATACCCATTGAATCAGTAGTACTTATGTTAATTCTTGATTCCCTTTTCAATAAATGAGAACATAGTTAGCACACTTATTTGATAAATTATGTTACATATCAGACAATATTTCCTTGTCCCTTGTAAATGTTAATCATTACTTATCCCTGCTTGACCACGACATTCTTACGACAAGCAGGAACTTCTGTGGTTTTTGTCACTTCACTGGAATTTTGTCATTTTTGCAGTGGTTGATTGCACTTACCTGCACAACACAGGCAAACTTATCGGTAGCCTTTGCCTCTTGACTTCATTGCATGATTAATAAAACATACACTATATGGAACATTTTGAACTGTGAAATTTAAACAAAGAGTACTGCTTAACGCAAGCAGGCATACTTCCTGCTTCCTTGTCCTTTGTTTAGGGGAAAATCACTTTCCGTATATGTCGAGAAAGTGAATATTGTGTAAGGTTCGCATGGCATTATACAAAGTTGAACCTGAGTCCAAGACGAATTCTAATACTTTAAGGCCCATCATAGAAATAAAATTGACAGATTTATTTCTGACATGGAAAAAAGATCAACATTTCCTGAAGTTCTGGATGGCCTCAGTCCATTTCCACCAGAACCCCCGGTAGTGCAGTGGGTTAAACCCCTGTGCTGGCAGGACTGAAGACCGACAGGTCACAGGTTTGAATCCAGGGAGAGCAAGGATGAGTTCCTTCTATCAGCTCCAGCTCCCCATGCGGGGACATGAAAGAAGCCTCTCACAAGGGTGGTGCAACATTAAAACATCCAGGCGTCCCCTGGGCAACGTCCTTGCAGACGGCCAATTCTCTCACACCAGAAGTGACTTGCAGTTTCTCAAGTTGAGATCTGGCTACCAGTATTAAAAAAACTCTAAAATTAGAACAGCACAACAACAGAGAGGAAATAAACAAGGACATCTAATCACCTCTCAACAAAAGATTGCTCCAGGCACTGCCAGGCAATCAAATGCTAATCAAGGTGATCCGTTGAAACACTCCCACCTAGCTCCAACAGACAAGAGTTCTTTGTCCCACCCTGGTCACTCCACAGATATATAAACCCTTTTTCCTAGTTCCAACAGACCTCGCTACCTCTTAGGATGCTTGCCATAGATGCATGTGAAACGTCAGGAGAAAATGCCTTTAGAACATGGGCATATAAAACCTACAACAACCCACTTAATATGGCAGTTCTGTCTTTTCTAGATTTCAGAGCTTGGGAAATATTTTATGGGAATATTAGAAAGAGATATTTGAAATAAATTAAAACTTTATGTGTGTTGATTGTTATCAGCGCATAGCCTCCGAGAAGATGTTGGCTTTTGTTTCAGAGAACTGTTTGGGACTTTTAATAAAGTATCCAAAATCGTAATCTGAAATCATTCCAATTGTCAATTGCACTTATTTCCTATTCATTTCTTATGTTGCATTACTTTACTGACTGAAGGCTTGGTCTCATAGCCATGTCTTTACATTCCTTCTGAAGGCCAGGAGGGAGGGCACTGATCTAATTTCACTGGGGAGGGAGTTTCAGAGGGGCTACCACTGAGAATGCCCTGTTTCTTGTCCCCACCAATTGTGCCTGTGAAGGAGATGGGACCAAGACAGGGCCTCTTCAGAATATCTTAACCTCCGAAGTGGTTCATAGAGGGAGATGTGTTTGGGAAGATAAACTGGGCCAGAACAATTTAGGGCTTTATAGGCTAAAGCCAGTACTTTGAATTGTGCTCGGTAGCAGACTGGCAGTCAGTGGAGCTAACGCAACAGGGGGGTTTTATACTCTCTGTATGCTGTTCCAATGAGGAATCTGGCTGCTGCCCATTGGGCCACTTGAAGCTTCTGAACAGTCTTCAAAGGCAACCCCATGTAGAGTGCATTGCAGTTGTCTCTTTGAGATGCAACCAAAAACATGATTGCATCTGTAGTGCTTCTCCCCACAGCAAGACATCTTGCCAGAAGTAAAACTTCTCTTTGTTTTGTTTTATCCCCAAATCTTACCTTTGCAGAAAGGTGCTGGCTACCATCTGGATCTCTTCTGGGTGGCAGTGCTGATGATTATATGTTCCTTCATGGGCCTGCCATGGTATGTTGCGGCTACTGTGATCTCCATTGCGCACATTGACAGCTTGAAGATGGAGACGGAGACATCAGCACCTGGCGAGCAGCCCAAGTTCCTTGGAGTCAGGTATGCCAACAGGGTTGGTCCCAATGCTCAGGAAGCTACTAGTAGATCTAGCCAGAACCATAACTCGAGTCTCCCTAGAGAATAGGGAGAAACACCTTAGTGCAAGAGAATAGGTTCCACGCAAAAGAACTCAGGTGTAATCTCTAGCATACCTTAGCTAGAAAGAAGAGATGGAAACTGATGAGGAGTTGCCATCCCTGTCCAAGATACCAAAGAGCTACTACCAGTCAGAATGCACAATGTTGAGGAAATAAGACTTCCCTTAGGACCCAGGAGTTACATTTTAAATTATCAAAGCTTATTGTAGGGTTCTCTGATTGGGATAGGTATGTCATATTCACACAATTGCTACCTTGGATATAGTCAATCTGAAAGAAAAGTGATTGGCCCAAGATTATATAGTGTATGCAAATGTAGAGTGGTTAGCCCTCAGAATGATAATCATAGGGATCATTCATGTAATTATTTCGCAGGGTTAAGCTGACAGGGTTGTACTTCTCTAGACTGCTAGTAGTGGTATTGCAAATGCTTTGACAATGCGATTTACTATTGTGTGTGACAGCTGAAAATTGCTGGATTTGGTTTCAGAGAGCAGAGAGTGACTGGGGTTATTGTGTTCATTCTGACTGGCGTTTCAGTCTTCATGGCTCCCATCTTGAAGGTAAATATACATCTAACAGTTTTTGCCCCTACCTTGTTCACCATATCATTCAGAAAAAAAATAATCAAAAAACATTCTCATGACTGAAGATTATTTTGAGTCCATTCCCTTTCATAAAATGTTTGAGATTTTGGAATTACCTTTTTTCAACAATTTCTGGAAATAACCAAATAGAAGCAGTTCTCAGGCAAGCTGCTGCTTATTGTCGCACTACACTGGTATTTGTTGGGACTGTAAAAATAAATTCAGCATCCTAAATGTTGTTTTTCCTGTTTGACAAGAAAGACAAGGGTGAATGAGTGCGGCCAGGATGGCCTTCCGTTCTTTACTCTTTAAAAGAAATGTTTCCTTTCTATTATCCTTCCATCTTCTTGTTTCCTTATGAGCAGTTACGCTACAGGTGCATATATCTCAATAGATAAAGTTAGCATACATCAGTCATAGCTAACTCCTAAATCACAAAACACAAACAGAAATATGCTGATGGATAAGGGAGACAAATATAGATTCAGGTAGTACAGAGCATAAGTAAAGTGATTTTGTTGTTATTTATTCATTCAGTCACTTCCAACTCTTTGTGACCTCCTGGACCAGCCCATGCCAGAGCTCCTTGTCGGCCGTCACCACCCCCAGCTCCCTCAAGGTCAAGGCAGTCACTTCAAGGATGCCATCCATCCATCTTGCCCTTGGTCAGCCCCTCTTCCTTTTTCCTTCCATTTTCCCCAGCATCATTGTCTTCTCTAAGCTTTCCTTTCTTCTCATGATGTGGCCAAAGTACTTCATCTTGGCCTCTAATATCCTTCCCTCCAATGAGCAGTCCGGCTTTGTTTCCTGAAGTATGGACTGGTTGGATCTTCTTGCGGTCCAAAAGTAAAGTGATAATGAATATTTATAATTATTTTCTTTCCTTCATTTGGGTCTCTTTGCACATCAAAACTCCAGCTCAAAAATAGTTACCATCATACATTTTTTCACAAATTTAACAAGGAAGAAAATAAAGAAAACTTTCACAGTGTTTTCCTCATCGAGCATCTACACAAAACAATCTCTTTCTTCCTTTCCTGTCCAAAGTTCACACAGATAGCAAATGCATGAGTGCAAGGTTGTTTATTAGGAAGAGGCAGACACTCTTCCCAATACTTCCACTTAAATGGCAGCTAAGAAATTAGTGTCCAAAATATGCAATTGTGCAGAATCATTTGTGTGGTGTTTACACACACACACACACACAAATGTAAAAAATATCTTGTTATCTTGTTTCACAAGAAAAAAAGTTTATATGTTTTGTTCCACAAATAAAGATGAAATAAGATTTATATGGCGTAGATGTTGATAAAGATGAAATAAGATCTATGTGGCATAGATAGTGATCTTTTAGAAATAACATCAACCAAGTTCTGAGGCCAGAGACTTTGACATTATTTGCACATACTTCTTAGCTTGTGTCTGTGTGGAAATTGCACACATCCTTCTGTAGATAGTTTGTTTTAAGGTACTTTGGAAGAAAGGTACTAAGAAATGTTTCATATGTAAAGCGGTTATGCTATACTTCCAAGAAAGACATTGCTGGTAGTGTTTTCTGCACTTATAGAATCATAGAGTTGGAAGAGGCCTCATTGGCCATCCAGTCCAACCCCCTGCCAAGAAGCAGGAAAATCTCATTCAAAGCACCCCCAACAGATGGCTGTCCAGCCTCTGCTTAAAAGCCTCCAAAGACAGAGCCTCCACCACACTCTGAGGCAGAGAGTTCCACTGCTGAACAGCTCTCACAGTTAGGAAGTTCTTCCTAATGTTCAGATGTAATCTCTTTTCCTGCAGTTTGAAGTCATTGTTCCACATCCTAGTCTCCAGGGCAGCAGAAAATAAGCCTGCTCCCTCCTCTCTATGACTTCCCCTCACATATTTATACATGGTCATGATGTCTCCTCTCAGCTTTGCCTATTGCATTGCATTCTTCCACCATCTTTTTCACAACATTTCTGATTTGTGGCCTGAGGGATTGCCAGCAGCTCCTTATCACAAGATATCCTGTCTTGAAGTACTCGGTTGTTACATCTGTATAAAGCCTGTGCAATGAAGCTAAGTTGTGTGCTTAGAGCTTGCAAGCTTTTTTCCCAATGAGATGGTGGTTTTTTTCAGGTGCCATTTTGGATGATATGTCCAAGAAATCATTCCCCAGGTAATAGATGTGGAAGATTTGTAATAAGGCCTTAATATCACCAAATTCAGCTACCTGCCTGCTGCAGTTTGGGTTAGAACTACAGCTTCAAATCCAATATTTCTATCCAACCCATAGTACAGTCCCATTAAAAGTCCCATTCCCCTAAATATGCTATTAGACTTGGAGATGAGAACTTTCAGGGATTAAGGTGGCTTACAACAAAATAAAAAATACAAAAATATTCTATAAAATTTTATTCAACCTTGAATTAGTGGTGAAATATTCAAGAATTTATATCCCTAGTAGAAGATAAATTAAAATAAAAGGAGGCAACTGATTGCACCTTTCCTTTCAGAGAAAGGCAAAGAGAAGACTCAAGTACTGTTCTGTATAAATGGTTGTGTTTTCATATGGTTGCAAACATATTTTCTTCTTTTCTTTTTTTAACTACATGGATATATTTTTGTGTGACCTTTTGTTGCACCATGTTGTGCTCTTTCCTTTTCCTGCAGTGCATTATTTATTGTGATTTTAAAGCAAGACTCGTTCCATTTTGTACATTTCTCCATAGGAGTCGGGGGTGGCGATGTGGGGCAGGGAGGATACTTTTACGCAACCAGGTCTGTGTGGGTGTAGAACTGTGTCACCAAGCTGGCAGCAGTGAGAGTCAAGCCTGCAAGGTTTGAGTGCCATCAGCAAAACTCTGTGGTTGTTCCTATTACTGTAGGAATCACTTTGCTAAATGTCTCACAAAATAGTCTATAGGGTAGGCTTTACATCTTGCAGTGCCAGCAGTAAATTTCATAGTAACTGTGCCAAGCCCACGAAAGCTGTCACTCAGAAAAGCAACTCCATTAAATAAGTTGACTATTTGGCCACACTTTTTCCTCCTGCTTGACCTGTCAGATTTGTGTACAGAAATAACTCATTTTATAATAAGCTAAAGATAAGCTATGTTTAAAAAAACAACTCTCCCCTTCCTTCCTTGATTCTTTTGAACCTTTAATTATTACCAACAATCTCTGTTCTAGGCTAGGACAAAATCTTCTAGCACGGAAAAAGTGTGGTTCTCTGAAGAACACAGAAAGCTGCGTTAAACTATGATGACTGTTAGCTACACTGTATGATTTCATGCAGGGGTTTTCTCGTGCCCTACATTGAGATGAAGGGGGTTGAATCTGGGACGTGTTGCATAGAATCATAGAATCAAAGAGCTGGAAGAGACCTCATGGGCCATCCAGTCCAACCCCATTCTGCCAAGAAGCAGGAATATTGCATTCAAATCACCCCTGACAGATGGCCATCCAGCCTCTGTTTAAAAGCTTCCAAAGAAGGAGCCGCCACCACACTCCGGGGCAGAGAGTTCCACTGCTGAACGGCTCTCACAGTCAGGAAGTTCTTCCTCATGTTCAGATGGAATCTCCTTTCTTGTAGTTTGAAGCCATTGTTCCGCGTCCTAGTCTCCAAGGAAGCAGAAAACAAGCTTGCTCCCTCCTCCCTGTGGCTTCCTCTCACATATTTATACATGGCTATCATATTCCCTCTCAGCCTTCTCTTCTTCAGGCTAAACATGCCCAGCTCCTTGAGCCACTCCTCATAGGGCTTATTCTCCAGACCCTTGATCATTTTAGTCACCCTCCTCTGGACACATTCCAGCTTGTCAATATCTCTCTTGAATTGTGGTGCCCAGAATTGGACACAATATTCCACTTTATTTGTATTCCAATCTATCTCCCCGAGGGGACTCAGGGTGGATTCCAACATAACAATGGCAAACATTCAGCGTCTACATAAACACATGATACTAACAGAAAAACCCCACATACAAAAGTAACATTAAAACCTAACATCAAATTAAGGCCTAACATCAGTAAATTAAACCCGACATCAATAAATTAAAACTACACATATTCAGACAAAATTCTATAATGACATAAATGTAAACAAAGCATCCACATTAGTGTACAATAGCTAGCAAGGGTTCACAAAACAATGTGGGTTGGTTATGTAGTCAAATGAGGTCATTGGGCTGGTGTGGACTTGTTGTTGTTCATTTGTTCAGTTGTCTCCGACTCTTCGTGACCTCATGGACCAGCCCATGCCAGAGCTCCCTGTCGGCCGTCACCACCCCCAGCTCCTTCAAGGTCAGTCCAGTCACGTCAAGGATGCCATCCATCCATCTTGCCCTTGGTCGGCCCCTCTTCCTTTTGCCTTCTACTTTCCCCAGCATAATTGTCTTCTCCAGGCTTTGCTGTCTCCTCATGATGTGGCCAAAATACTTCAACTTTGTCTCTAGTATCCTTCCCTCCAATGAGCAGTCGGGCTTTATTTCCTGGAGGATGGACTGGTTGGATCTTCTTGCAGTCCAAGGCACTCTCAGAACTTTCCTCCAGCACCACAGCTCAAAAGCATCTATCTTCCTTCGCTCAGCCTTCCCTAAGGTCCAGCTCTCACATCCGTAGGTTACTACAGGGAATACCATGGCTTTGACTAGGCAATGGATCTTTGTTGCCAGTGTGATGTCTCTACTCTTTACTATTTTATCGTGTGGACTAGAAAAGCCCAAATATGAATAGTTGTCAATCAGAGGCCTAGCAGTGATCTCTCAACTATCTAATGCTTCTCCTCTCCACATGTTAGTGAGCAAAAGTAGTTCTTTAGTTGTTTTTTAAAGGAGGGGAGGGAGGGGGCCAGCTTTATTTCTTTAGTGAGGAAGTTCTAGAGGTGGGGGGTGACCACGGAGAAGGCCTTCTCTCTCGTTCCCACCAGCCGTGCTTGGGATGGGGATGGGACTGAGAGCAGGGCCTCCTCCGATGACCTCAGTGCCTGGGTTGGTTTTTAAGAGGAGATGCAATCTGTCAAATACGCCTTGACTTTTCCTAATTAATTAATTATGTTTTGGTCTGATATTTCAATTAAGTGTGTTGGCTGGAATCCTGTTCAACATTTACATTATTACATTTCTCTTCATTTCTGGAATTTACATGTATGTTCATTAGTGACTGAACATGACCCTTAAGCCCTCCCTTTTAACCCTCATTGAAACTAAAGAGTTTCTGAGGCATTGCAGACTGAAGTACTGGAAAAAGATAACTGCAGTGTCCTCCCAGTCATTGAGACAAGCCACATCAACAGGATTTGAAGGGATCTCTCCAACTGTCTATCTCAATGAGCCTTATAACCAGGACTGCACTGCTGTTGTCATTTCCCAGTGCTCTGATGTACAGCATCTTGGAAACCATCCAGTTTGGGTGCTGCCTGGCTTCAGAGGTAGGTTTTGAGGGTTGGCATCATCAGAAGTACAATGACAGATATGTCACATCCATGTCTGATGATCCAAGATCTTGAGAAAAGTCAAGGAGCATTGTATTATCTCGCCATCCATGTATTCAATATCCAAGGTTTCATTTAGGAACATCTAGGAGCCCCCGGTGGTGCAGTGGGATAAACCCCTGTGTCGGCAGGACTGAAGACCAACAGGTCGCAGGTTCGAATCCAGGGAGAGGCGGATGAGCTCCTTCTATCAGCTCCAGCTCCTCATACGGGGACATGAGAGAAGCCTCCCACAAGGATGATAAAAACATCAAATCATCCGGGCGTCCCCTGGGCAACATCCTTGCAGACGGCCAATTCTCTCATACCAGAAGTGACTTGCAGTTTCTCAAGTCGCTCCTGATACGACATAAATAAATAAATAAATAAATTTAGGAACATTCCAAAAATGTATTTCCCACCCCACCCAGAAGTATCTGTGGACATTTTAGGCCCTTAGTGCTTCCAGCTTGTGTATAGTCAAAATATAGGGTTTTCATTGTCTGCCGTTCCAGGTATCCACAAGGAATTTTGGAATGTATCCCTTGCAGATATGGGGGCCATATCTTATTCACAAGTTTTTCAGCAGTTCTTACATATTTAGCTGTGAATGAACTCAATTTCCTAGAAATTCCTTACTTGATTTTTATTTCTTTTTGTTTTTAGTTTATTCCCATGCCTGTGCTATACGGAGTGTTTCTATACATGGGTGTTGCTTCCCTTAATGGAGTGCAGGTAAGTTTTCTCTTTTATAACCAAGGTCCTTTGCGTAGCTGGAACAAACCTAACAAAGGCCTTTACCATAGAAAATGGTAAATATTAACCAATGCTCCCTTTCTCGTGAATCTGAAATAGCTCATTCCATCTCCTGCAAGAACACATGGTACAATTAACTAGTTAGCCTTTAAGCTTTCCCAGCATGCATCTACTGTGCTTTTTGCTAATGGAATTCACTCCTTTCATTCTCTAGGGACGATATCACATTAGTGTTTTGAAGCGGAGGTGCCCACTTTGCTATTGCCCATTTTGCTCCTGCAGAATACTGGGAAATGTAGTTTAGAGAAGCTGAGGGCTGCTCTGGCTGAGAATTCCAAAGACCCCCACTACAGTTCCCAGAATTCTGCAGAAGAAAACTACATTTCCCAGAATTACCAGAATTCTGCAGTATTATTATTATTATTATTATTATTATTATTATTATTATTAACTTTATTTGTACCCCGCTAACATCTCCCGAAGGGCTCGGTGTGACTTACAAAGGCCAAAGCCCTCAATAAAACAACAGTATAACAAATACAACAATAAAACTCATAAAGCAAACCAATAAACATTAAAGCAGTAACCGTAAAGCAATTAAAACAATACATCATGACACATTTAAAACTAGGGCCAGGCCAAATGTAATGAATAAAATTAAAAGTGCTGGGCATGACAGGTGAAATGTAAGGATGTTAGGGTAGGTGCGATGTGCAGACAATCTTAAATCTCTAGTAAAGTGCATTTGGGACATGATGCTGGGAGTTTCCTATTCTGGAAAGGCACACTGGAACAACCAGGTCTTCAAGCTCTTCCTAAAGACTGCCAACGTTGGGGCTTGTCTGATGTCCTTGGGGAGAGAGTTCCAGAGTCGGGGGGCTACCACAGAGAAGGCCCTGTCCCTCATCCCCAAGATGAGAGACAGGGCCTTCTCAGTGGTGGCCCCTCGGTTATCGGTTTCCCTTCCTGGGGACATTAGATCGGCCCCTTCCCTCTTAACATTTCAGAAAAGAGTCAAGACTTGGTTGTTTGAACAAGCGTTTGAAAATGCAAGGTAAATGACATAGGAATTGGAATGACTGGGCGACGAGATTGGACAATGTTTTTATTAGGAGACGTAATTGATAAATGTTTTTAATACTATTGTTATGGTTTTATATTACGTGTTCATGCTTTTAAATGTTTTATGGTGTATTGGGCATCGATTCGTTGCCTCTGTAAACCGCCCTGAGTCGCCTGAGGGCTGAGAAGGGCGGTATACAAATACAGTAAATAAAAAAATTAATTAGTAAATAAATTGAGTGACAACAAATCAGGAACCTCCACATAGAAAAGCTAATGTGATATTGTTCTACATCATTTTCATAGAAAGAGCATTGCAACCCATTGATCAGCAGTGTGTAAATTTGATAACCCTGCCCCCAATAAAACTTGGTATGGGCTGTTGTAGGTTTTTTCGGGCTATATGGCCATGGTCTAGAGGCATTCTCTCCTGACGTTTCGCCTGCATCTATGGCAAGCATCCTCAGAGGTAGTGAGGTCTGAGGATGCTTGCCATAGATGCAGGCGAAATGTCAGGAGAGAATGCCTCTAGACCATGGCCATATAGCCCGAAAAAACCTACAACAACCCAGTGATTCCGGCCATGAAAGCCTTTGACAATACATAAAACTTGGTATGGCTTGACCTGAAGGGACAGTTGCATGGAGAGCAAGATATGGTGGATAAACAGAGTCCAGCACTCGAACCACTACACCATGCAGGCTCTCCCTCTACGTAGGGGGGAGCCCATATCCAGAGTGTCATCGCAGTGTGGGTTCATTCTCTCTCTCTCTCTTTAAATAATGAGAAAATGTCTCTTCTCAGAGGTAAAATGCCTCTCCTAAAACATATTAGCATAGCATTTTTATCACACTCCAGATCATTGCCCAGCCAGCAGTACAATGAATTGTGAGGGCTATACTCCCAACAAATCCGGTGGGCACCAGGTTGACAAAAGGAAAGTCTGGTTAGAGAGAGCATTTCTGGCACTTTGTTAATTACATTGCTCTTCTCTGTTTAATAGGGAGGTCCAGGGGGAAGAGTGCATGTTTTATCTTTACCCACAGAGATTTATGTAGACCCATTTTAATACAGGCATGCGTTTCATTTCCAAAATTGGGATTAATCTTTTTTCCGGGTCAGCCGGCAACAGGCAGTAGTCTCGTATGCTGCCAAAAGACACATAGGGTATTGTTGATGATCGCTCATGCACTGGGGTCTTTCATGAGGGCATTGCTCAAACAGATGAGGATGAGGAATGCCAGAGTCAGGCCCGTAGCCAGGATTTCGATTCGGGGGGGGGGGGGGGGGGGGGGCTGAGTCTGAATGAAAGAGGGTCTACCCTAGCAAACCTTTTGTTTTGTTACCCCAATACCCCCATGCATATGGGATATATTGAGTATGGTGATCAGATCATGATATGAATAAACATAACAGTTTAAATAATGCACCAGTAAGGCCTTTTGCAAACCACCATGAGAATTTCGGGGGGGGGGGTGAAGCCCCTCAAGCCCCCCCCCCCCCACCCCCCCCCCCCCCCCCCAGCTACATGCCTGGCCAGAGTGGTGTCCTTTTAAATCCCAGTTCTTGGTTTAAGCATTTGGGAAAAAATTAACCAAACAGATGAGTGTGTATCTTTTCATAGAATATTGCTGTGTAAGAACATGCAGCTACTCACTTTTCTGTAAGTTTGTCTCCAGTTTAAAACTTCACTTCACATCATCCTACCCACTGCCAGATCCAAGTATGTGCATGGAATTTCCTCTGTCTCAGTGAAGTTTTGTCCACAGATTAGTTTTGCAATGAGGAATGATGTCTCCAGAGCATAGAATCATAGAATCATAGAGTTGGAAGAGACCTCATGGGCCATCCAGTCCAACCCCCTGCCAAGAAGCAGGAATATTGCATTCAAAGCACCCCTGACAGATGGCCATCCAGCCTCTGTTTAAAAGCTTCCAAAGAAGGAGCCTCCACCACACTCCGGGGCAGAGAGTTCCACAAGTTCCATCTTGTGATTTTGGGTGTGTGGCTGATGTCATCTTTCAAGCTGCCTAGGTAGGGAGTGTGCACCCCAAAATATGTTGAACTTAAAGGGGAGCCAAGTTCACTCTCTGTCTAGATGAGTTAGGTGGGATCAAGAGAACAATTAATAGCTCTCCTTGATTTGGCCGTAATATCTAGCATGGCTTGCCATGCGATTCATCCCAACTACTTAGTTGAGTTTCCAGGACAACAAGACAATCTGATACTGGGTTGTTGTAGTTTTTCCAGGCTATATGGCCATGGTCTAGAGAGGCATTCTTTCCTGACGTTTCACCTGCATCTATGGCAAGCATCCTCACTACCTCTGAGGATGCTTGCCATAGATGCAGGCAAAACGTCAGGAGACAATCTGATACTGGTTTGGATACTCTCCATCTACTAGATTTATATGTCAAGCCACATAGAAAAGAATGGGTATATCTTCTTTCAGTAGGAGATACAGGATTTTGAAGAATTTACCAGCATTTGAAAAGTGTCCTTATATTCAGGTTGGGAAGGACTTGAGAACTTGGAAATCTGAATGAGGGAGATTTATCTGTCTTGGCTGATAACTCTGAATGCTTGCTAAGTCTTTGAGTCTCTCTATATTCAACCATGCAAGTGTTAAATTATTTTCTTCCCAAAACCTTACTTATGTTTAACACGTGGTGGACATGGTTAAATTTCCCTGGTTACAATAGAGGTGCCTATTTAATTTGGTTAACATGTGTGCAGGGAGGGGGGATTTCTTTGCACTTTGTTTTTTAAGGATTACCCGAATTCAAAAAAGTTTCCATATTTGGGAATTAAAGAACTTGAGGTTTAAGTAATTCAGATACAGGAAAAAGCAAAGCTGACCCGTTCCCCCCATCTCTAGTCCATGGCCGAGTCCAATACTGAAGGAAATTTGTAACACATTCCTAATTCCATGTGTAGGCATATAATCTAGGGCAGTTTAATCTGGGGATTTTCCCAGGCTCAGCCAGGCCTTCAAATGCTAATGAAGGTGGTCAGTTGAAACATTCACACCTAGCTCCAGCAGGGAAGAGCTCCTTGCCACACCCCAGCCCTTCCACAGAGATATAAACCCATTGTTCCTAATTCCAACAGACCTCACTACCTCTGAGGATGCTTGCCATAGATGCAGGTGAAACGTCAGGAGAGAATGCCTCTAGAACATGGCCCTATAGCCCGAAAAAACCCACAAGAACCTAATCTAGGGCAGTGTTTCTCAACCTGTGGGTCCCCAGATGTTTTGGCCTTCAACCCCAGAAATCCTAACAGCTGGTAAACTGGCTGGGATTTCTGGGAGTTGTAGGCCAAAACACCTGGGGATCCACAGGTTGAGAACCACTGATCTAGGGGTTCATAGTATCCCACCACAAGGAAAGCATTTAAAAATAGATTTCTGCTAGAGATTGAAATCCAAGACAATGAAGAATTTATGGCTATTCTGATCCTTAAAGAACACTTTTTCCCAATGCTTTCTTAGCTTTAAATAACATTAATCAGATTGTTGGACAACAATAGATATAACAAAATGAGAAAGTGAATCAGGAGATTGGCAATGAGCTATTTTTGATTAATGAAGATGTAAAGGAGGTGATGAGCAACTTGCAAATCTGGCTTGACTCATAAACTAAGCCAATCAGTTTCTGATTCTGAGAGAAAGAACTTGTCTTAATTCATATAATTATAGGAAAAATGTCTATAATCAGTATGGAATGGGATCTTGGGATGATATTGGACAATTCTGAATCATCGGCTAAGTGGTAGAAATGAAGTGATTGGCTATTTTCTTGCTGCCTCGGTGCATGCTGATGAAATGCCATCGAATTCTTCTCTCCTCCATCCTAGTTCATGGATCGTCTGAAGTTGCTCTTGATGCCTCTCAAGCACCAGCCTGACTTTATCTACCTACGACATGTCCCCCTCCGCCGAGTCCATCTCTTCACCTTCCTCCAAGCACTATGCCTGGCTCTCCTTTGGATCTTGAAGTCTACAGTGGCTGCTATTATATTCCCAGTCATGGTAGGTTGGTGTGATCACAAGTGCATCCCTATGCATTTCCTTCTTCCATTTAGGAACATTTGAGAAATATATATATATAAAGAGGTCCACAACATTTCATTCTCAAGTCTCCTTGACTTTGCCCAACGACCAAAATAAATATGTACATTTTTATTTAACTGAAATTGTTTATTAACACAATATGAGATAGAAAGTAAGAAAAAATCATTTTTGAATGGATAAAAAATACATTCTCAGCAGTTTTAGAGTTCATATTCTGTTTTCCTTAAAGTTCCCTGTGCTACTATATTATTAACATAAAATACAGTGGAGGTATCTATTTTTAAAATAAATTAATGTAAATTTAAATTAATTCTTATTCATAATCAATTTAATATAATTAAATAATTAATATTAAATTACATTTGATTATGTCATCACCACCCTCATTTGTAACTGACTAGTAAAGCTATTCCAGAGTTTCATGTTTCCTAGAGCATTTTACGGATAATGTTTGCATTGCTTTGAATTATTTGTTTGAACACCATCAAAAAGTGACTAGTTTTTAATGAGCTTTAGTCATCAGCCTTATTTAAAACAAATAATAATACTGGTGCTCCATGACCAATAGTAATTTAGGTCTGTAGTACTTTGTCATAGTAAATTGTACTAGCTTCAGTGTACTCTTTAAACAGTAGCAAGGAGCCTAAGAATTTTTCATTCCTCTTTAAGGATGGAAAGAATATTGAAAAATATGTTTTTGAGTGTCAAGAAACCTTGATAAGAAAAATCCTGGAGAGATCAGAATTTTCACAGATAGAGAACTATTTTGCAAAAAAAATTGCACATGACTGCTTTTATTCAGAAGACATCTTCTCCTGCCCTGAAAACATCATCCACTGTGTGGAAAACAATATTTCTACACAGAAATGTTATTTTCTGCACAGAATAGTCTTATTTCCTGCATGGAGTACTCTATGCAAACTTATCATGTGGGAGATTAGTATTGCTAACAATGAATAGCAACACCTGCACAGAAAATATACAGGAATATTGTTTTTTTTCACAAAAATTCAGTTTCCTCCACAAAAAAATGCTTTGTGAATTTTGAGATAGCTGCACTTGCAATTTGTGCAAACTTTCTTTCCATATGTTTCCATATACATTTATTTGCAAAATTGTCACCTCTCCTTGCATAGTAGCGTTTTCATTCTTTTGTGCAAGAACAAGATAAATGAGGAATCGATCAATCAATCAATGATTTATTACGGTCTTTGACTAGCACAGTATAGAATGGGGCACCGGTGCCCAAGTAAGGGAATCGCAGTTCCCAAGTAGGTCAGGTATAAAAGCAGATTAAAAACATGTTATAAAAGAGACAAATTAAAATAATAAAACAGACTAAACTTACAGTTTAAAGTGCATGTATGAATCTAAAATAGGGGGGTGGCTAATAACAAATATCAGACAACTGGGAAGCTCTAAAAAGGGATGAGAGGGGAGCATTTACAGCATTTCAGGTATTACAAATCATTCTAACTATATTCTCTGCAGGAAGTTGCCTGGTGGAGTCGGTCATCAGCCATCTAATGTTAATTGCTGCTGCACAAAACTTGCCAAGTTAAATGAGGAGTCATATTCTTTTCATACAGTATCTGTGGCAGGTTAACACTATCCTCCTAAATACTGTATTCTTCTATACTGATTTTTAAAAAATCACATGTTTGCTAGTGGCTTCACTGTGAGTGGGATTTTAACTGAAATGTTAAAACATCTATCCATGGATGCATTTGCACTGGGCAGGTGTCAATCTGCCCTTGGCACAGCTTTAGATCCAGAATTTGCAGGCTGAATATGGGATGGCTGTCCAGGTAGCCTGAGATCAGATTCATACTTCTTGTCTGTCCTCTGTGTTGCTGCCCCTCTTAGCTAATCCAAGCACCTGGCCACCACGGTCGGCTCACCTGATGTCAGAATGGGGCACCCATGTCACCAGCTGATGAGTGCATGGAAGGGGTGATGGTGACAGTGTCTATATGCACATAGGTTCGGACCAAGTAGGACCATATCCAGCTATCCAAACTGTCCTAACGTGCCAGAATATGCTGGCATTTCAAACTGTGCCCTGTTCCCCATCTTAGCTTAAAGTGAGGCAAAGTCAGTGTTGCCAATACTCCCAGGATATCAGTGGAAGCTGATATATATAATGTAGACAGCTCACTCCATTCACAGTGAGTCTAGTTTTTTGACCCCCGATTACCCTCCGAATGCAGAAACATGCCCCAGAAATAGCTTCTGTATCTAATATTTTTAAAGATCAGATTAAAATCCAAAATGCCACTGAAGTGAAATCCCCCACCCCTTTGAGATTCAACAAATCAAAAGCTGGAAAGTGAGTAGGAGAGCTCTCAATTTCTAGTCTGACCTCGGCCTATTGCAGTAGCTGATCAGATCCCAAATGTTGTTAACCTTTTTTGGGCTACCTGATGGCTAAGAGAAGAAACCCAAAGAAGGTAAGCTATAAACAGCACCTGTGGGGAAAATATTTGCACGCCAATAAGGGTATGTTGAATTCTGTCCTAATAGATCCTGGCACTTGTGGCGGTCCGAAAGGCCATGGACTACCTCTTCTCCCAGCATGACCTCAGTTTTCTTGATGACGTCATTCCAGAAAAGGACAAGAAGAAGAAAGAGGATGAGAAGAAAAAGAAAAAGAAGAAAGGCAGCTTGGATAGTGACAATGATGATGTAAGGCCATTTACACCATTGTATAGATACTCTAAGGTTTTTTTGTCCTGCCTGCAACTACCTTGTGACAGCTTTCCAGGTTTGGATTATACAAATTATTCATATTCACTTCACCCCATCCCCACCCCATGAGACTGAAGGTTCTTGGACATTATTGATTCTCATAAACAGCATACAAAAAGCTATGTGTTGATTTGACAAGCTATTTTGCAAGTAAACACCCAGGGTTGTGCATGATTCAACATGAGGGGTAGCAGTGTATTCTAGAGATTTCAAACCAAATTTTCAAACACTGTTCTTTCAGAATAAAGTTTCCAGCCAAAAAAGAATAATTTTCAAATGTGGAACGTGTTTCATAATTAAGCTTTCTAGTACTTGCTTAAGAGAAAGCTTCACATCTCCCTCCCTGAATCTAGCAAAACGATTTCGTTTTCTAGGGTGGAGATTGTGCCTGTTTAGACAAAACTGAATGTGTCCTTATATTTGCCCAGTGTCATTGCATTACACCTAAAGTAATCTTCTCTGTTGGTTCAGGTTAGCAGTCTTACCTCCCTAGGTAAGTTTCTAAAGTTTCTGTAGACTCCATGATGTTACCTCATCCCTTCATTGACTCGACACTGGTCCGACAGAGCTTCCTGTGCCCTGCATTCCCAGTTCCCTCTAAAATGTTCTGTAGCTCAGTAAATATTTTCATACATGCACATAACTTTACTTGGAAGCATGTCTAAATAGGCGATTCCACAGGAATTAAGAAAATTGTTGTTCTCAATAATCCTGATTAATGGTCCAATTCATACATTGGACCTATGCCAAGGGTGGGAAAATGCCACTTACATTCTTTGGGGCTCCAATGTGTGACTTGTGGGACCTCCCCAGATGCCCCCACAAATCTCCACAATCCCCAGATACTTTTTAAAAAACAAATGGAGCTGAAGGGCTCTAAATCTCTCAAAATAACCAAAGAAGCAGGGGTTTAATCCATTAACCTCCACCAAACCTCCCCAGAACAGTACGTGTGAAAAAGATCTTGGAGTCCTCGTGGACAACAAGTTAAACATGAGCCAACAATGTGATGTGGCAGCAAAAAAAGCCAATGGGATTTTGGCCTGCATCAATAGGAGCATGGTGTCTAGATCTAGGGAAGTCATGCTACCCCTCTATTCTGCTTTGGAATATTGTGTCCAATTCTGGGCACCACAATTCAAGAGAGATGTTGACAAGCTGGAATGTTTCCAGAGGAGGGTGACTAAAATGATCAAGGGTCTGAAGAACAAGCCCTATGAGGAGCGGCTTAAGGAGCTGGGCATGTTTAGCCTGAAGAAGAGAAGGATGAGAGGAAGCCACAGGGAGGAAGGAGCAAGCTTGTTTACTGCTTGCATGGAGATTAGGACAAGGAACAATGGCTTCAAACTACAAGAAAGGAGATTCCATCTGAACATGAGGAAGAACTTCCTGACTGTTAGAGCCGTTCAGCAGTGGAACTCTCTGCTCCGGAGTGTGGTGAAGGCTCCTTCTTTGGAAGCTTTTAAACAGAGGCTGGATGGCCATCTGTCAGGGATGATTTGAATGCAATATTCCTGCTTCTTGGCAGAATGGGGTTAGACTGGATGGCCCATGAGGTCTCTTCCAACTCTTTGATTCTATGATATGCAATCAGATGCAACAGCCAAAGAGGTAGCCAGAAGTTACACAGTGTCACTTCAGGCATATTAAAAAGCGCTGCTATTTGGGCACAATAAAGAAAAATGACCCCTGTCCTTTTTGCAGTTGCCCTTCTTTGATTTATTTAAAGATGTTCTTACTATATTCCTGGGAAGCCATTCAGCCCATGTGGAGTCTTGCTCTGCAACTTTACCTCTCTCATCACATTGGGAGATAATTTCCAAGAACCTTTATGTCCCTTCAAAAAATCAACTGACATGTGACACTTCTTCCTCATTGTATATGAAATAATTCTGTTTCCAACTTCCAGTGTGACATTTTTCTTCATATCTCCTTAATTTAATCTGCTTTTCAGATTATAAAAAAACACTGGTGACTACCTTCACTAATACCAAGAAAGACATTCTTTCTATTCTTTAATTTCTTCTTTCTTTTTTTAAAATCCTGGACAGACTCAGATGTTTTCTGTATTTGATGTGCTTTTGTTGTTCCCAGTTTTAAAATAGCTGCAAGAGGAGTCTGTATTGTGACTTTTGCTGAACTCTAATCCAACATTTTTTGAATCTTGCAGACAGATGCACCTATATAACCACCTGACCATGTGCCTTAGAATGTGTTGAATTGTTTTTCATTCTGTAAATTAGTAAGAAAAGTATCACCCGTGCCTTCTGGTGGGATTCTACCAGTTCTCAATATTCTCATTCTTCAGCATCCCTAGATGGTGTTTGAGCAGAAGGAAACCTTTATTTAACATCAGCTCATATTAAGCAGTATACAAAAAGCATAGTCACAACCTGTTTGAAAGAAGGTTGTTGGTGGCTCTCATAGAGCAATATTCCCACCATTGTTACATGCAACTTTGTAGGAAACTCCATACTGGAAGTTGTAAATTGAAATATTATAAGATCACACTTTAGTTGAGTGCCAGCACAGTAGAGCCTGATGTTTCCATATGAACCAGAGCTTTGAGGGTACTACTTGCATTGGTATCATCCAATGCCATCCTCATTCCATTCTTACATTAATTTCCCCTGAGATCGGGAAGCATGGATCTGCCTCATACGTTAGATGCACCCTAATGAAGATGGAGCAGAACCAGAAAGTAAGATCAGTTGAAGTAATTGAGGTAAAAAATTACTAGTCTGAGAGCAAATTAGGGTGTGGGGAGGATGAGAAGAGTTATCTATGTAAGTTTAGATCAGTGGTTCCCAACCTGTGGTCGGTGGACCACTAGTGGTCTCAAGAACTAAAATATGGTCAGTGGCCTAACTGTTATTACACCGTTGCAACAAGAGTGACTGGTCTCACAAAACCTTATAGTGCTGAGGCAATGGGGATGTCAAGAGAGGAGAGGCTGATTGCCCACGAAAGACATAAGTCCCTTGACTGCTGCTTCTCCTCCTCCTCCTCCCTCACTGTGAGCGGAACTGTTCCATGTTGCGCCTAGAAGTGGAGGCACCTTGGTGTCTTTGTTTCTAGGCCTGTTCCTGGGGTTATTTGGGGGTGCTGATTCAGAAAATTGCATTAGATAGACCACAGCAGCTCTATATTATTAAATATGGTTTTCTATGGGTGAGCAGGTGGCAACTACTGGATGGCATATTTAATTAATTAATTAATTACAGTATTTATATACCGCTTTTCTCACCCCTAGGGGGACTCAAAGCGGTTATGATTTGTATCAGAAACTAGAGCTGATGTGGTCCATCCAGTGCAATTTTCTGAATTGCAAATAACCCCAAATAATCAAACTGAATCTAAAGTTGACCAAAAACTGATTCGTAACCCTTTTGGTACTAATGGAGAAGCGGCTTAAGGAGCTGGGCATGTTTAACCTGAAGAAGAGAAGGCTGAGAGGAGATATGATAGCCATGTATAAATATGTGAGAGGAAGCCACAGGGAGGAGGGAGCAAGCTTGTTTTCTGCTTCCCTGGAGACTAGGACGCGGAACAATGGCTTCAAACTACAAGAGAGGAGATTCCATCTGAACATGAGGAAGAACTTCCTGACTGTGAGAGCCGTTCAGCAGTGGAACTCTCTGCCCCGGAGTGTGGTGGAGGCTCCTTCTTTGGAAGCTTTTAAACAGAGGCTGGATGGCCATCTGTCAGGGGTGATTTGAATGCAATATTCCTGCTTCTTGGCAGGGAGTTGGACTGGATGGCCCATGAGGTCTCTTCCAACTCTGATTCTATGATTCTATGAATGTTGGAGAGTGGTCCCTAATCAAGTGTTTTCTGTTCAAAGAGGTCCCTGGTCAAGTGGTCCCTGGTCAAAAAATTGTTGGGAACCACTGGTTTTGGATGGAGAAATGAATTGCCTTGAAATTGTATCCTATAAGGTGAATTCTTACCATTTACACAGCAAATTTAAAGATAAATGGGCTTATTTGGCATAAACTGTAGGTTGTAATTCACAAAAACATAACCTAACTAAAACATGTTAATCTTTAAGGTGCTTCAAAATTCTTTACTGTTTGGACTAATTGAAGAGAGTCATTGGACTGTGTTACTCTGCCTCACATCCTTTACACTCTATTGAGAATGCAACAAGTTCCTTTTTTACTTTTTGTTTGTAGTAGAGAACTTTGGATTTTCAATAATGCCTGCCATGTGAGCCAAATCAAATTAGCAGAATAGTAAATGCTTATGGCAACTGCTTCAGCCTTCTCTAAAATCAATAGCTCTCATGCATCTGGCAGGAGAATAAATGTGATTAGCAAGAAATGCATATCCCTATTGCCCTAAGCCTCTCAGAGGCTTTATTCAACGTGCATTCATAAATTGAATGATATGAAAGCGTACTGAAGAGCACGGTGCCTGGTGATTATTTTAACTGGTGGCAGCAACAGATGGATGTGATGCTGAGCATGACGCTGCAGTTAAAGTAATGAGAAACTGGTGCAGAATCCCTCCAATGCCAGAACTGGGCTGGTATGCTCTGTGAATGATCTGTGGGGATAGTAAGAGAGAAAGAGAGGATGAGCGCAATGGAGACATTCTAAGAAATCTTGTGCACGTTTCTTTCACAGTCTGACTGCCCTTACTCAGAAAAAGTCCCAAGTATTAAAATTCCAATGGACATCATGGAACAGGAACCTTTCCTAAGTGATAGCAAACCTTCCGACAGTGAGTAGAACTAACATCTTGCATGCCTGCTTCAGTCTGAATTGCACGTCCAAAAAAAAAAAAAAAAAAAAAGCAGATATAGTACAGTACCACCTCTGTATCCACAGGGGATATGTTCCTACCATGGAAATAGGAAATGGTGGATAATAGCAAAGCCTATTTAAAGGAATGACTTCTGCTGGAAGTCACCATAGAGACATCTTCTTGTGGGATTTGCTAGGCCTTCCAACCTAACTATGGTGACTTCTTGTTGAAGCAAACCATCAAATCTCCTGGAGGACATATTCCTTTGGATATGGGTAGGTGAAACCGCAGGTATTGATCCCATTGGATACGGGGGTCATACTGTATAGCTTTCTATATCTGTATATACTTTTAATATTTATTTATTTTTAAAAAGCCTTGTTCTGTAGATGTTTTCTTTGTTTTCCTCCCATATGTTTTTTTGTTTTTTTTACACAGCATGTACACTTTTTGCTGGCTTTAAAAAATATTTTTGCTTTTTAAAATGTATGCATACTGTGGGTTTCTCCCTGCTTTTTCTCCCCTTCTTTGTGCCTCTACTATTAATTGCTTTTATCCAGCTGCTGACAGATTGATCGCTAGCATTCTCTCTCTTTCTCTCTCTTTGTAATCCTCCAAATGGTCCAGCCTATTTCTTGCACGATATATACTACCATTTTTGTTTGCAAAATGTGAATGCACACACCTTCTAATACTCTCTTCTGATTTCCTTTCTATTCCTTCTTTGCTGGCTAATAGAAGTAGCACCACTGTCTCTTGGTGTTTGTTTCCTTAGGATCTCTGCTTGGTCATCCCCCAAAATCAAAACTTCGACATAATATATGTAAAGAAGCAGATCATGGTGTGAATCATTTAGCACTATTAACATGCTTGTCTTCCTTTAGGTGGCTTGAGTTACATTTACTTCCTTTTTGTCCAATTTTTAAATTTGTGCTAATCTCCACGGAGTGATTCTATTTTCCATTTCAAAACGATCACCCCCTCACACACATCTCTTTCCATTTGTCTCTGCTGACTCTCCTATCTGTTTTCTGTTGCTTTCATTTCCTTGAGAAAAATGTGATCCCAATGGCAACAGTTCTCTGTGTATTTTGCTGAATATGGAGTGGGGAGGGGATCATGCAAAGCTTGTTGTACGAGCAGTTTTTTGCTTTCTAAAAGCAAAAAACAGAGTAAGAAAAAAATATCTGAAAATCGGTCCCAAGTACTAAATATTTGTGGCCAAGAATTGAGTAGGTGATATGGTTCAATCTGAATGTTGTCCTTTGAAATGCCTAATTTCAGCACTTTATGGAATTTGCTACACTATGAATTCACTATGGAATGTATTCACCTGAGGCATTGAATGTTTGCCTTTTTTGTGTGCAATCCACCCTGAGTTCCTTCAGGGAGAGAGGATGGTCTAGAAATAATAATAATAATAATAATAATAATAATAATAATAATAATAATAACAACAACAACAACAACAACACGTTTATAACACGTTTATAACAGTGCCCGAGTTATAAACGTTTGACTTACAAGTGATTCATAGTTAAGAACAGGGGTAAGACAACAAGAAGTGAGAGAAATCTTCCCTTCGGAAGTGAAATTTACTCTTAGAAGAGTTATTATCATGGGGAAAAGGGGTCTCCAAAGAAGCTTTATGACCAATCCTTATTTCCACAACAAGCCAAATTTTGCAAAATCCCCATTATAGGAGGAACCGAAAGTGAGGTGAAATCTTCTGAACAGGGACACAGGCATCAAAACAAACAGCGCAGAGTGTTAACCCTTCTCTATGCCATAAAAATCTCTAAATATATATATCTGGCTGGAATTACATTTAAATTTGTATCTGTTCTGACTCACAAACAAACTCAACTTAGGAACAAACCTACAGAACCTATCTTGTTTATAACATGTGGACCTTCTGTAATACAGTGGGATTACAGAGAGATTCATAGTAAGGCATTTGGTGACTTCATCCATCCTTGGTAGGTAGAAAACAAAACCAGAGAGAAATCTGGCAACTTTTATATTAACAATTTGGGAGAGTTCAGGAAATTTATTTTTGAAGCTCTGAGCTTGCATTCATAAATAGATCAAACTGGTCTATTAGTAAATTGCCGTACTGCTGCAAACAAGTTCACACTCCTAAATTCAACACAGCAGGCAATTAGATATCAACAGTTGCCACACTGTAGGATTGCAACAAACTTCTTAAATCAATTGCAAATCTGTAATAATCAGATCACCTATTGCTTCTACTATACATTTTGGGATGGATCAGGGCCAATAGAAATGCTGACTTTATGGAATGAAGAGTGGTATTGATTGGATGAGTAATTGGGGAAAGGGTAAGTACTAAAATATTCAGATACATGAAGTATCAAGATATCACAACATTCCATTCATGACAGAAAACACTACTTGGATCTGGGTAAACATGGTATCAGCAAAACCACGAACATACCAAAAATAGCTAATTTTTAAAATATCCTTATCTATACCCCTGCTTCTTAAGTGAGGTCTTCCATTTTCTTTAGAATAAGGATGATCAAATATGCCAGAAGGAGATTAAGGATGATTTCTAGAATCTGTACATATTTATAGCTCGTCACTATGGAACTGCTGCATCTGCTCTACCCGTGTTTGTTATATGTAGAGTTTGGGAAGGAAAGTATTATTTTTGGGAGACACATAGAAACACATGCATCAGTTCTAGAGATAAGACAGACCTTTGCCCAACATGTATTTTCATGTCTCTCTACATTTAAATTGCTAAAGAATCTTCAAATTTGATTCATACACAGGATTCACCCCACTTCAGAGTACACCCACTTTAATTTGGACATCTCCCAAATCTATCCAAGTCAGCTTTGAATTGGGAAATGTCTAAATCCAAAATATATCTGCAGTTGAAGGAGATATGGAATAGAAAGTGCTGCTTGGGTATAAGCATTCGTTTTGGGAATAATTTACAATCAGATTAAACTGGATGGGTACCTTTCATATGGTATCTCTGGCAGATAACTTATTTGGGTTGTTGTAGGTTTTTCCAGGCTATGTGGCCATGTTCTAGAGGCATTTTCTCCTGACGTTTTGCCTGCATCTATGGCAAGCATCCTCAGAGGTAGTGAGGTCTGTTGGAAGTAGGAAAATGGGTTTATATATCTGTGGAATGACCAGGGTAGGACAAACGTCAGCAGAAAATGCCTCTAGAACATGGCCACATAGCCCGGAAAAACCTACAACAACCCAGTGATTCCGGCCATGAAAGCCTTCGACGATAACGTCTTTGCTGAGCCCTGTTTATCGTGCACTTCTTTCCTTATAGTATTGGGTTTGTTTGGTGAGACACAAGATGTGTCTCAAGTGGACATGTCAAAGATTCATGATTCATTCTTCATTGTCCAAATAACCCAACTTTTGCATCTAGTGTTCTGTTGCCGGACACGTGCATATTAGCTTTAGTCTTGTGCAATGGGATATTTGTCTAGCACAGCTCTCCATTTTGGGTATGGATATTAGCTCTCATGCTGTTGAAACTAGAGCAGTACTGGATAATTGATTTCAAAGCTGTTGGCTATAAAATAAGGTTTTATTTAAGTTGCTTTGAATTTGTTTATTAAGAAAAGCAAGACAGTTTTTTAAACATATATTTCTCACAAACAGGAGAAGAATCACCAACATTCCTTGAACGCCATACATCATGCTGATAAAATTCCTTACCTCCACTCCCACACAATGCCAAGGTAAGGATCTTTATGGGTCTATAGTCTTAAACACTATTTATAATGTAACCACATCTTTGCAGAGAGTGGGTTTCAAACCAAGTGTGAAGTATACCCCATTTGGTTGATTTGCATCCTAGCTGCCAATGAAAGAAAAATTGATTTGACTGCTGAAGAAATGAAACCTTATGAAACAAGGTAAAATATTTGTTCACTGAAACATAGAGTTATTGGAAACTGGCATATTAGAGTTTCCAATATGCCAGTTTCCAATATGCCAGTTGAAACCAGGCATATTGGAAATTATTTCAGAGCAAATTAGGTGAGTCTACTCTGCACAGAAGAAGGAATGACGGAAATATAAGAATCCTAGAGGTGAAAGGGACCAGTGTCATTCCTCGTTTCCTTATTTTAACTAGGCAAAGAAGAGTTTGGAAAAGTTACACTTTGGATTACAACCTATGGAAGCGCCTTTTAGCATATCAAGAGGTCATATTAATGGAAAATTTTTGGATTGAGAGTCTCAAAATCTACATTTTCCAAATTATGGGTCACTCCACCTTTGTTTTAGAAAACAGGATAGCCCCAATCAGCTAGTTTTGTTAATGTTTTCCCAGTGGAGGATTGCCATATGAAACCTAGGCTACAAATGGCTATTTAGTTATTAAAACAATCTCTCTCCTGAATTTGATTTGTTGCTTAGTTTCCTGTTATATTGATTATTGTTATGTCTATACTTCCCTTAAGGCACAGGTGGAGAAAATGAAGCCTTTTGCTATTCCTGAAGCCTTCCACTTATCCTCTCAAAACTCCTCAACCCCTCAGTATTTTTAAATGGAGTGATTTTGTTGTGATTTAAACTGTAAAAAACACATAGAAAGTACAGCAGAGTGCAAAATCACCCCACCTACCCCAGATCTCCCACTTCTGATTTCATTGGCATCCCTCCCAAAATGGTGACAGAAAATGATATTGTATCACTCCTGTGGCCATTTTGAGAGATAGTCTGAAGGGAAACAAAGATATTTTGACAAGATGGAATGGGTGGCCTGCAAGGAGGTGTGAAAGGGAAGTTGTAGGCCAAAACACTTGGGGGGGGGGGGGATCCACAGGTTGAGAACCACTGGTCTAATGCAATTAATTCATCATCACATTGAGCCCCCGGTGGCGCAGTGGGTTAAACCCCTGTGCCGGCAGGACTGAAGACCGACAGGTTGCAGGTTCGAATCCAGGGAGAGGTGGATGAGCTCCCTCTATCAGCTCCAGCTCCTCATGCGGGGACATGAGAGAAGCCTCCGGGCATCCCCTGGGCAACGTCCTTGCAGACGGCCAATTTTCTCACACCAGAAGCGACTTGCAGTTTCTCAAGTCGCTCCTGACACGACAAAAAAACAAAACAAAAAACTGGGTTGTTGTAGGTTTTTTCAGGCTATATGGCCATGGTCTACAGGCATTCTCTCCTATCGTTTCGCCTGAATCTATGGCAAGCATCCTCAGAGGTAGTGAGGTCTGTTTGTTGGAACTAGGAAAAAGGGTTTATATATCTGTGGAATGACCAGGGTGGGACAAAGGACTCTTGTCTGCTGGAGCTAGGTGTGAATGTTTCAACTGGCCACCTTGATTAGCATATAATGGCCTGACAGTGCTAGAGCAAACTTTCGTTGAGAGGTGATTAGATGTCCTTGTTTGTTTCCTCTCTGTTGTAATTTTAGAGTTTTTTTTAACACTGGTAGCCAGATTTTGTTCATTTTCATGGTTTCCTCCTTTCTGTTGAAATTGTCCACCTAGCTCCAGCAGACAAGAGTTCTTTGTCTCACCCTGGTCATTCCACAGATATATGAACCCTTTTTCCTAGTTCCAACAGACCTCACTACCTCTGAGGATGCTTGCCATAGATGCAGGCGAAATGTCAGGAGAGAATGCCTCTAGAACATGCCATATAGCCCGAAAAAACCTACAACAACCCAGTGATTCTGGCCATCAAAGCCTTCGACAATATATTTATTTATTTACTTTGCTTATATACCGCTGTTCTCAGCCCGGGGGCAACTCACAGCGGTGTACAACATAGAAAGAACAAGGTTCAAAATTCAAGACACAATATAAAATGATCCACAATCCAGCATTAACAAAAACATCATCATCAAAAAACATCATCATTACTACAAAAGCCATTCCGCGTTGTCTCATCGTCCAAACCACAATCCAGTATCATTTTCCGTTGTTCCATTCCTATAGTCATTACCAAGTTTTTAATTTCCTGCGGAATATCATCAGGGAAGGAGCCAGTCTGATGTCCACGGGAAGGGTGTTCCACAGCCAAGGAGCCACCACCGAGAAGGCCCTATCTCTCATCCCCGCCAGCCGTGCTTGTGAGGCAGGCGGGATTGAGAGCAGGGCCTCCCCGGAAGATCTCAAAGTCCTGGTGGGCTCGTAGGTCGAGATGCGGTCGGATAGGTATCTTGGGCCGGAACAGTTTAGGGCTTTATAGGCCAATGCCAGCTCCTTGAATTGAGCCCGGTAGCAAATCGGTAGCCAGTGGAGTTGGTACAACAAGGGGGTTGTATGCTCCCTGCGTCCCGCTCCTGTTAGTATCATGGCTGCCGCACGTTGGACCAATTGAAGCTTCCGGGCCGTCTTCAAAGGCAACCAATATATAAAACAAAAAACCTCACTGGCTCTCAAAGGTTAATATACACAGAAATGTAATTTAAGTTTTGTTCTTTTTCTTCTGTTTTTCAGCCCTCCACGAACTCCAATGAAAGTTGTGCCTCAAATTAGAATAGAGCTTGATCCTGAAGATGGTGGTTATTTCTGGAGGAGCAAGGGAACAGAAACTACTTTGTAACTTGTTCATTAATCTTCTACTGAACTGGCTTTTTTTTTGGTCATTTCTTCCTCTTTTCTTCGGTTTTACTAGCCAAATATCCAATTGATCTCTGCCTAGGGAAATGCAAGACATGTGGTGTCCCTCTCCATTGGGTCTTTCATCTCATTTCTCTCCCTCCACTTTGTATATTCTTCTTCTCCTTAGTCTTTTTCTTTCTTTCATTCTGACCAATACACGTGGATTTGTTTTTGTTTTTGCCTTCTCGACCGTGTGCGTACGTACGCCTCCTCTGGACCTTTTCACCAGAGAGTGGAAGTATTAAGAATATATTATCACGGCTTTGTGAAATGTCAGCAGAACTGTTATTATTTTGGCGTGTTGGGGTTATTTTTTAGTTGTGGATCAGTGTTTTTCTTTCTTCATGGTTTTTTTTAAAAATCTCTAGCAGAACAAAACTGACCTCCAGGCAAAATCCCCATAATTCTGTACTCCTGGAAAAAAGAAATGCTGCTAATCTTAATATGCTTGTAATGTCACCTTTGCTTCTTTAGTCTCAAGCACAGAAAATGGAAATGGTACATCCTTGCACAGACAAACTTTAATTTTTTTGCCAGCACTGTATAGTATGTGTTTGGAATCCTGTCCTATGCAACTTTTATTCTGTAACACTTCAGTGGATTCTTAACCGGTCAGCTGCGTTGACAAAGTGTTATTCTTATCTCTTAGATGAAATCTGTTTTAAATTATGGGGGCCTAACCTGCGACTTACTTTTTTGTCAATTTTTTAACCATTTTTTAAAAGAATTACTGTAAAGAAAAATGATTTTTTTTCCTGCAGCAGGAAACTTATAGTTTTTGAGTAGTTCTACCTCTTATTTCTAGATGTTGGACTTTCTCTTTAAAAATGAAAAGACAAAAAAAAAGAAGAAAGATTTAATAATTATTATTATTATAATAATAATGAGAATAATTGTATAGTATGTTATATAATGTGATTTTTACAAAAGAACAAAAAATACAAAAATACACAATCTCAAGGGTATATGGCATCAATATATAATAATACCTTTCCTAGTTCTTTCTCTCTTCCTCTTACTTCCCTTCAATTTGTATTTTCTTCTTAACCATCTGTCCTGATCTGATTTTGTCACGTAATTCTTGGTGAAGTCCTTCTTTCAAAGCATCTGGCACAAACGGCTCTGTGTTTCTGCCATGCTGCCTGCCTTCATCTTTTAAGAGACTTCTGCCAACTTCCTACATAAACTCCATTAATACAAGCAGGGCATGTGTCGTGGTAACACATTCAGAGTTACCTTCAGACAGAAATGAGTGTTGTCAAATGAGCAGATGCAGACTGAAGTCATGTGTTTATTTGTCTTTATTGATAGCTCTGTTTTATTTGTACCAACTTGCTGGCACTCTGTATGTGTTTTCTGTGTGTGTGTGTGTGTGTCCACACTTCCAGATTTAATATAAAGTAGAATGGAGATTATTTAAGGGGAGGGTTTTTAGAGCCTTAATTATTGGTCTGCATATTGTAGCTCATGCTTTGCAAATCATATGTAGAGTTCAATGTATTGTTGAAGGCTTTCATGGCCGGAATCACAGGGTTGTTGCAGGTTTTTCCGGGCTATATGGCCATGTTCTAGAGGCATTTTCTCCTGACGTTTCGCCTGCATCTATGGCAAGCATCCTCAGAGGTAGTGAGGCAAGCATCCTCACTACTTCTGAGGATGCTTGCCATAGATGCAGGCGAAACGTCAGGAGAAAATGCCTTTAGAACATGGCTATGTAGAGTTCATTTCAGACACGGTTGATAGCTGTCACTTCATGCCATGTCATTTTTGTTATGCTCTTATATGTTATTCTGGACCAGTCAATAACAGTCGTTCTCGATCTGTAGGTCTTCAGCTCCAAAAAATCCTAACAATTGGGATTTCTGGGAGTTGGCTGGGATTTCTGGGAGTTGAAGGCCAAAACACCTGGGGACCCACACGTTGAGAACCACTGGTCTGTAACAATGGTTCTCAACCGGTGAGTCCTCAGGTGTTTTGGCTACAAGTTCCAGAAATCCCAGCCAGTTTTCCAGTTGTTAGGATTTCTGTGAGTAGAAGGCCAAAACACCTGGGGACCCACAGGTTGAGAACCACTGGTCTATAACAATGTATGTTGTTCTGGGCTAAACTATTTCAGACTGCAGGTGGAGATATTCTCTTTGAATGTTCCCCTGTAGAAATTCCATGCAATGTGCATAAGGACACAACGTATGCATGGGAATAGGTTGGAGCCCGTTTCATCACTCCTACACTCTTGACTTTTCTCAGTGCAGGGAGTAGGGATTTACATCTTTGCTCATATGCGAGAATTAAGCTTTTCACACTTCTTGTCTCTGCTGGGGGAGAGTTTTGTGCATTGTTGGAAAGATATTTGCATATTGACATTTTTGTGAAAAATTTCACAAAGTTTTTGTTTGTTTGCACAAAAGCAGTTTTTGGTGTGAAACGTCTTTTGTGCTAAACAGCTGCTGGTTGAATTAAATGAAATGCTTTTTGTACTCTTTTTTTGCACAAAAATGTTTTTGCACATACAAAGAAGCATCTCGAAATTTTCGCAGCAGTCCCAAATGAATTAAATACCTACATGCATACATAAATGCATACATTGGCCTTTTCACAGTCACATGAGGATGAGCAATTCTTATAGTGGTTGAATTTTGTAAGTGGGGTGTCTCAACATGTTGTGGATGAGAAAATTCATTCTGTATGTCCCCTACAATTGGCTTGACGTGGGGCTTAGAATGTGAGGTCCATCATCTGCAACTCAGACCAGAATAAGCAGTCTGACATAATTCTGCCATCAGTGTAAGAGAATGGACACTGTATCAATATCTGTTTAGTTACACACCCACACTAGTATGGCTGTTAAATAATTGGAAACCAACCCAAAGGCTCTTAGATACCCCAAAAATGCAGCTGTGACCACATTCCAGGGCAACTTACATAGTCTTGAGCAGCAACTTAGGTATACACCCCAGTCTTCTTGCAAAAGAGATTATTGTTCCTTCAAATTTTGTGGGCTTTATGTTTTGTGTTGTTGCAAAAGCTGTCTCTGTCCAGGGCCCATCTTGCCAGATTAGAGCTGTTATGCTGAATGTAGGCCTGTTTCTACTATCATTCTCCAACAGAAGTAACTTACTTTTGCAGTGAAGTGCATCACCCTCAAACCCATCTGCATGGACAATGCATTGTGGACTCCAGTTTTCTTGAGTATGAAATGGCTTGGAATGTCTTAGATTTCTCTGTGCAGATGGTTTCGGCATGACTGCAGAAAACTATTCCTGTATGGGAAATTACATGCATTGATCTCCTGGCTTTAGGAGGTGTGCTTGAAAGGGCACCTTATTCACATGAAAGAAAAGTTTAAAAGGATAGAAGGAAACAGAATGGTGAAATTGACACTTCCAAGCACCCAATTGTGCACACAGTCAGACTTTTTTTCCCACTTGGTGGTCTCTAGTGGTTAATCTCTCCCAGCAAAGTTATTCCACCCCTAAAATCTGTTAATTATACTTGAATCGACTGCAGCAATGTTTGACTCTTCAACACAATGCCTTGTCATACACAGAGTCCTGTATTGTTCAGGGGAAATGACAAAGAAGAATGTTTCAATTATTTATATCAGTTTAGTGCAAGAAAGGGATTGGGAAGGGGCAAGGGACAAGAATCTTGAGATGTTGCATTGTATGTATTCCTGGCATTAGCTACCTGACTTATTTATTTATTTTCCTCAGACTACTAAGCATGATGGGAATATTTGCCTTTGTAGCTTATGTTGGTACTGTTGCATCAGTTTAAGTGGTACGGCTTTCTTCTGCAGATAATCTGATGAATTGTTGCTTGATGTGGGGCTCAGGGACCCCATTTTGCTTAGCACTGTCACCTTGTTGCAGAATCCCATATAGGATGAAGGAATGCCTTTTCAACCAAAATGTAGAATTGAGAGACATAGACCCAAATATTTTGATTTGCAGGAAAGAAGCACTTTCTTTGTAGTATAATTTACCTAATGTGGTTTATAAAGGAAGGTTGGTTCCCCTGTTGCAACAACCCTTGCAACTTTGGTCGCCAAAGTCAAAGCTCTCCAAAAGAGAACTGTTAAGACCTGATAGGGCACAAATGTAGGGATGAATGAGATATGAGAGCAACACTCTTGTGTGATGGCATATGGTTTAGAGGCCCTGCACAGTAAACAAGTGATCATTTAGGTCCTATTGTTACAGTTTCCTGGACCCACATTAATGTGGCTGCTAGGTTGGCTCATCAGGCCAAAGGGCCTTGGGATGAACTATTGCTTTAAATCTCACCCCCCAGGGGAGAATGGGCAGATGGGTGCCTGAATCATGCTCAAAAGTCAATTGTTCAACTCTTCCTTCCCTTTCCCCATGTGGAGCAAATCCCTCCATGCTCTCAGCTAGTGCTTCAAGATGATAACTAAGACCCCTTTTACAATGCCATTAAATTTAGATTATTGAAGCAGATAATCCAGATTATCTGCTTTGAACTGGATTATATGAATACACTGCCATATAATTCACTTGAAAGCAGATAATCTGGATTTTATAGGGAGAGGAGAGAGATTCCAAGAGAGGAGATTCCATCTGAACACGAGGAAGAACTTCCTGACTGTGAGAGCTGTTCAGCAGTGGAACTCTCTGCCCTGGAGTGTGGTGGAGGCTCCTTCTTTGGAAGCTTTTAAACAGAGGCTGGATGGCCATCTGTCAGGGGTGATTTGAATGCAATATTCCTGCTTCTTGGTAGGGGGTTGGACTGGATGGCCCATGAGGTCTCTTCCAACTCTTGGATTCTATGATTCTAGGGCAGTATATAAGGGGTCAGAGTCCTCAAGCTGAATTAGCTTCACTCATTGGCCAACATCCCCTTTGTGTAGAAGATGGAGGAGTGAAGTTGCTGCAGCCAATGGACCATTTTGAGGAGTGGTCCTCTATCCACCTGCTTTGCTGTTGCTCTGCCCTAATATAAATCCAAGGGTGAAGTTCAGAATCATCATTGTAGTTTCACCCTTCTAAGTGAGATGTTGATTTGATAACTCTAATCCACGTTTTAGGAACTTGACATCACATATCATTGTAATTATTAATTATTTATACTGTAATAACCTTTTGGGATTCTGTTGTGCATTGTTAACAATATTAAATTGTGTCCTCTACCCCTCCTGACATGCTGTTCCCTGGGTTCACTTTGAACCTGGTAGCTGATAGAGCTCCATTCCCAGGTAACAGATGAGCACGGGCACACAAGGCTTAGTCTTATATTCAAACAGGGAGGGCAGATTCTCTGCTTCAAAAAAGGGTTGGCATTGCTGCTATTAAAATGAACTTTTAGGTCAGCCTAGTTGCTCCTGCAAATATAGATGGAGCCTAGCCCCATGTTCATGTAGGAAAAATCTTGCCCAAAAATGACTGTGGGTGTGTCTTCTTAGCAATTACCGGGAATAGCAGAGAAATTCTGAGAAGGGAAAAAGGAAGAGTGTATGTTGGCTTTTGAGGCCCAGTAAGAGACTCGATGGAAATCTTACTAGTGAAAAATCATAGAATTGTAAGGGACCGCCACCCCTTGCCATGCAGAAATACACAACTAATAGATTCTTGAAAGAAGGCCATCCAACTGTTTAAACACCTCCAAAGAAAGAGAAAACCACCTTACTTGACTTACTTACTGAGGCGATCCCTCGTAGTCCGAGGATGATGGTCCTCCAAGTTCGGTGTCCTGGCGGTGGGTCCGTAGGTGACTGTGGAGCCCT